CTCTCAAAATGGCGAAAAATGTGGAAAATTTTCGAAATTTGAAAAAACGCGAATCCAAGGAATTAAATTCCAGACAAAGGGCTTAAAATCAAAAATTTTGGGATCTTAGCACCTCAAACGCACGGAAATCACTCTCAAAATGGCGAAAAATGTGGAAAATTTTCGAAATTTGAAAAAACGCGAACCCAAGGAATTAAATTCCAGGGAAAGGGCTTAAAATCAAAAATTTTGGGACTTTAGGGCTTCAAAGGCACAAAATTCAGCCCCAAAATGGCACCAACGTGTGGAATTTTCGAAATTTGAAAAACGCGAAGCCAAGGCATTCAATTTCAGCGAAAGGGCTTAAAATCAAAAATTTTGGGATCTTAGCCCTTCAAACTCACGGGATTCACCCCCAAAACGACGAAAAACGTGGAAAATTATCGAAATTAGAAAAACGCGAAGCCAATAGATTGAATCCCAGGGAAAGGGCTTAAATTCAAAAACTTTGGGACTTTAGCACTTCAAACGCACAGAATTCAATCCCAAAACGACGACAAAAAGTGGAAAATGATCGAAATTTGAAAAATGCAAATCCATGAGGCTGAACCTCAGGGAAAGGGCTGAAAGTCAAAAATTGAGGGGCTTTAGCGCTTCAAACGCACAAAATTCAACCCCAAAACGACAACAAAACGTGGAGAATTTTCGAAATTTGAAGAATGCAGATCCAAGAAACTGAATTGCAGCGAAAGGGCTGAAAGTCGAAAAGTTTTGGGATCGTAGCCCTTGACTTCAAACGCGCGAGATCCAATCCGTAAACGATGGCAAAACGTGGAAAATTTTCGAAATTTGAAAACGCGCATCGCTTACGTCTTTGCCTGGCTTAGTTTCTTATTTTGGGGAGGAGGGGGATCCTAGTGGGAGGGATGTTATCGGACGCTCCAAGCTAGTATTTTTACTACTACAAGGGACGAGCGCTGCATCGCCTGTTGTACAGTTTTAGATGATCTAGAGACTTCTTCTTGTGCTATGCCCAGCAGAAAAAAGAACAAAGAACACCCAACAGAAAAAAGGCACCAGCGAACCGACGCCCGCGGCCACTCCTTGCCGCGCCGGGTTCGTTCGCCCTAGCTTCCTCGGGGGGAGCCCGGTGGCGCGTGCGCCGCCGCTTCCCCCGGTCGGTCGTTGTTCTTGCTCCCTGCCAGTCTCCCGGAGGGCACCTCTCGAAAATGCCTATGCCTCGGAGAGTATCTATAAATGATCTAGACACTTCTTCTTGCGCTATGCCTCAATCATGTCAATTGTCTCTTGCAAGAAGCATTCTGTAAATTTTCTTATCAACCTCATTATCCTTCGCCTCTCCACCTTCTTCCTTCTCTTCAAAGCCACTTCTACCTTCCTTTTCTTCAAAAGCGGCATGCTCGTGAATGTCGTCGTCGATAAAGACGCAAACTTCAGTTCCACGTTCTAGAATTTCGTCCACTATCCATTTCTTCTTGCTCATTTTACCAGGAACCGTCACTACGCGCACATGTCGTAAAGCGGGATTGGTTTGCGCGATGAAGGTTGCGATTTCTTCTCGATGTGGGTTCTTCGTGAGAATCGTCACGCTTGACACCAAAGGACGACGTGTACTTGCCGTTGTTGGTGAAGGTCTTGCGCCTCCTGCTGCTGAGTCTCCATCGATATTTCTTTCCAAAAAATCGACAATCAAATCAACCAACTCAGGGTCCAGCGCATGGTTTCCAGACAAAGGATTGGCGCCGCCTTTTGTGCTGCAGAGCGTTAGGTCAAAGTCAAAGAATAAATGACACGAGATGATCGGGGAACTGCAAGAAAAAGAATGAGCTTCCATATCATGATAAGGTAATGTACGCGTTGTACAAATAGGACCAGAGGCGACAGGACCGGGTTCACTCCACGACCCCGTACTAATGCCATCCAAATCCTGAGTTGTACTTCTTGGCTCGACGTCGCGGTCCTCTTCCAGCGTTGTCCCCGCAATCGTAGACAACTCTTTGTAGGTGTATAAAGCCTCATCCTCTTCTACAGCATACGGAGACGAATGAAGGCCATCAGGGGTACTTGCAACTGTATCTCGACTCATGATCGGACTGGCCAACATCTTCGAAGGTGGTGTGTTTTTGATTTTAGTGCTACTACCAGTTGAACTACAACTACAACTCGTCGTTCTCGGTCTCGGAGTGGCAGTAGTATAACTTGTTAGACTTTCTTCTAGTGCCATGGTTGTGCAGCCCCCACCTGCTCCATCCTCTCTCGCTCGAGAAAATATCTTCAATCGATACAGCAATTCCCGCAGATCATGCGCATCCCCACGTATTATTCGGCATTTGTCACAAGCTTCAAAGGCCGAGTAGTCACACTTAAGACAGCGAAGCTGATGCGGGCAGTAGAGATGCGCCTTCGCACTACGGGAGCACTTTTTAGTTTTACCTTGTTCAGCACCAGGATCATACCCATTTCCGTGTAGTATAGCACGTTTTGGGCATACTTTTTCTTTGATCCTAAGCGTGTAAGCACACGAAGAACAACAGCTTAGATGGGTCGGAGATGCTGTTGTCGAGGATTTCTTTGGCAAAACTAAGCTGAATTCCATTCCACACAACGGCATACGAATACCACATCGCGCACAAGGCTCTTCGACGAAGAACTTAGACTTAGTCTTACATGCACTCTCATCTTCATCAACTTTATTTGAATTCGATGCAGCATGATACCGTTCCAAATTCAGGGAAAACCTTGACTTTTGCTCAGAAGTGGTTTCATCCTGGACATGGTCGACCAACAATTTCCTCATCTCCGTTTGCAGAGTAGAAACTTGTCCCGCAGCCTTAGTCAAAAGACTCGAAACTGTCTGTGTCGCACCGTCAGTTCTCGTCGACGTAGTGAAAGTAGCCAAATGCCGCGAGTCACTGACTGAAAGGAAGCGCTGGTCACTGTCTACAATGTTCTCCACATCTTCGATGAGCATGCCTAGGCAAGTTAATAAAGCGGAGTTTTTCTCCAAACTTTTACAGTGTTTGTGAAGTAGAGACGTCTGCTTTCGCCAATCTGACGTTGGGGCATCTCCATTTCCTGTTTCATTTTGCTCGACGCCCTCAGCATCCTTCCGTGCAGTTAATGTTAGCCATGCGTGCGCACTAGTCGTATCCTCAGCACCAGTATCGTCTTCAGAACCCACCCTCTCTTCCCAAAGTAGATCCTCAGTGGTCTGCTTGGCATAATTGGTATCGGCCAGCTTGAATACACACTTCGTTCGAGGATCGAGTAGACCATCCACGTCCTGCTGCACCGCACTAGCTTCTTCATTTTGATCAAAAACATTTGCGGCGATGACGTCCTGTATCCTTTTCAGATTCCTCAAGTGCTCCACCACTTCGTTTCGTATGACCCAGTATTTGTAAACGCCGCTTTTCACCAGAGCCTCACGGATAAATGATAACATCTGGCTCACATGATGACTTTCCCCTTCGTCAGCATTTCCATCATCTTGAGAAAACGAATCGCGGTGAAAGAAATCCTCGTCAATCGGCACCTCAACTGGAGGTGTAGAAGAAGTTCCTGACGCCTTAGACTTAGTACGTCTATCCAATTTGAATGTGCACAGTTGGCGCTTAGCTTGAGGTGTTAGTCTGTGGAGCTGCGGATCACCAACCGCCGAGCCTGAAAGGTGCTTCAGCAGTGGCAGATTGCAGGCCTTGACATAATTATCATGCACCCCTTTCGAAGGGGATGTTACTGCACAAGGGACGGATACGTCCTCTCCGTCAGCGGCCAGCACATGTTGATAGCTTTTTACTTGTCCTTCTTCATTCTGCTTACCTTGAAGCAACGTTGGAGGCTCTCTCGCTATGTTCGCACACAAAGCCTTGGTAAGATTTCTCAAATGTATCAGTGCCTCCCGATAACCTTGCAGCCGGTTCCGCAGTTCTGTCACTTTTTTGTGGCGCGATGAATCTATCAGGACGTAGTCTTTGTGGCGTCGGTCATCTTGAATGGTATAATTTGAGTTCGTCCCTGTAGAAGTTGTCTTCGTCGCACTTGCTGCACCCTGAACTTGAAAAAGAAGGCTACTTTCAACGTCGTCCCCAGTTGTGAAGACTAGTTCATACTGCGAACCCGTTATAGCCTCAATCAGTGTTATTTTTCGTCCGTCTTCATGCGTCCTCTCCCCCAAGTTCTTCAAGCAAAGTTCATAGTGGAAAAACTCTGCAACTGGTTGAAGCTTCTCCAAGAGTTCTGCACACTTTGACACCTCATGCTTGACAAGCTTCTTGAAGTTGATCAGGTTATCTCGGAAAACGAACACATCAGCCAAAGCTTTCTTCACTTCTACGATGTTGTGGATACAAACATGCTGTGGTTGCAGATATTCGAAGAGCAAGTCGGGAAAGCGGCCGAACTTGACAGTCTCTAGCAGTTCTTGTTCCGGTCTTGTAGTTCGGCTATTTTCGTAGCCGACATCGTTGTGCTCCTCGTCGTGATTCAAGAATAAATATGCTTCTGAAGTAGATTTCGTCATGGCGTCACGATTTTCTCCAGCCTCCAACATCTTCGCGTCAAGAGTCTTCACCTTGCCTTCATACCCAATGCCATGCACGCGTACACCGCCGTTAAGACCGAACCGGAAAACGTAAAGCACAGCAAGCTGGAACAACAAACGGCGAGAGAGCATGTCAGCCTAGAAAGACGTCTGGTCTTTTCTTCAACAGGTTAACAACAACGTTGGTCGCAGGCTGACACGACATGGAAGGTTCGTTATCCTGTTTGTGTTTAGGTTAGGTTAGGTGGGGGCCCGCCAGAAAAACTAGCAAGCTTCATTCTTGGCAACTGAAGAGCCAAAAAGACGCTACTTAACCTAGAGCTGGTGGCGCTACGGCTACACTAGAAGTAGGACCTACTTTCTATGTTCGGTAGCTTCACTAGACCTGGATGTCAGTAAGAATCTAGGTTCTTCTTCACTCGATACTCTCGGTCATAGATCCTTGCCTCATCCCACATACTCTGCCTGGTACACTATCTTCGTACACGCTGTGTCGTCTGCTCTAAAACAACAATACTCCGAGGATAGGATAAGAATTACCCCGCCTCAGGGAGGTGAGCGATCAAAACGCCGAAAAAGGATCTAATTTACTAGACCGAGCTGTGCTTGAGCCTCACCCGAGGACCGACACATCTTTTGTGTACCTTCCTGCTTCAAAAAGAAAGAACGGTGATGGACCTACTTAAGCAAAGAGCGAGTCTCTAGATACTGTCAACGAGCTTTTCCGACCTACGCGTCTGGTTATGAAACAAGTCTATTCTTGGCCTAGCGCGGATCTCTCTAATCTGATCACTCTGGACCTCGGTGTCGGTATTCGATTTCTACTCAGTAGCTCACGTTACCGCTCCAATTCATTTACGCCCTGCGCACATCGATCAGCTACCTCTTCGTCTTCGGTATGGAGTTCGATGCATACTACTCTATTGATTCACAGGGAGACAATTCGGCCGCATATCGATAGGTCTGCACTTGTGTGCGGGCTTAGGCTAGCGCTCAAGGCAGATCGGATTTCGACGCTAGTGCATAGATCTTTTGAGCCTAGTGCTCCTCTTAAAACATGAGTGGAAGTTCTGCGAACCTCATTATCTCCTTGTTTGTCTGGGAGAATATTTCGTAAAACGAAGGCATCCGCAAGTGCTTTTCGACTTTCTTATAATGATCAACGATGCTCTTGCTCTTGGCTGCGAAATAAAAAACGATCTGCAAGAGAAGAGGTCTGTAGTTTCTACCAAAGTAAGTGTCGAAAGGTGGCAACAAGTGGCCCTCTAGGTACATTTTCATTACTTGTAGTTTCGACGCGATGCTTGTTGATACTTCTTTTTAGTGACTCTTACTGCTAAAACTATTAAGGTGTATTGACTTGCACGTCCTCTTTTGTTGCATTGATTAGTATTCATTTTGATCTTGACGATCATACTTCTTTCTTCTACACTTATATTCTACTACGATGATGCAAAATTGATTTCGTTCTAGGACTATACAAAATGGTTAGTGCTTATTTTCAGTAGACCAATATATTTCTTCGAAAGGAAGCTCTGAATATTTACTCATCACACCCAAATGATTTCTACAACCACATTGAAGAGACCACGCTACTAAGCATAGTAGAGACAGGAACTACTTCTACCCCTCTACTCTTCTTGAAGTAACTCATCTCACAAGAACAATCTTTAGATTTAGGTAGCAGGATCTAATCCTTTGGAATTTTCAATGTTGTAACATCTTCCCTAGACATCATAGCTAGAGTCTCCGCAGGAATTTCCTCCTTGTCTCCTAACATCCCAAGAGAGTCCAAAAAATCTGCACGTGCAACATCGCCTTCGCCGATTAAGTTAGAGGTAGTGCAGCTGGTAGATCCCTGTTTATACTAGACTGAAGGTGAAGAATAAACTTAATCCGGAACCGGATACATCATCTCATCTAGAAAGAATATTGATTTATTTGTTTTTGATACGTGATATGTCACTGATTTGTTTCCTTGTCGAGACATCATGGTCAACATAGTGGACACGACAATGATAGAGACAATCAATGTCAATGAAATGCAGAAAGTTTTAATCATTACGCAGCAGGCCGTAAGCAAAGCATCTGCGAGCTCCAGGGCTGCTTTTTTCCGCTTGATCCATGTTCGGAGACAAAGATCAAACTTTTTCAACACTTGGTCCACTTCGGTACTAGCAGATGAGGAAGAGCATGAGGCATTCTTCGCATTTACTTCCGCAAGCGTCAATCGTTTTTCAACGTCCGCCTTCTGTCTCGCAAGATCTGCCTGCTCCTTCTGCACTGCAAGCCAGCGGTCCTTTAAGCGCGTTTCCTCTTTCTGCTTTCTTTGAGCTTCTTTCGCAGTATTGATTTTTGCTTGGAGTGTCGCAATGCGACTTTTCATAGCCGCTGACTCCTGTTCAACAAGCGGCAAAAACTGCCCAAACAGAGTCTCCTCCTCTCCTGCAGTGCCAGGAGTTCCGGACAAGTACCTAGGGTGGATGAAGCATCAGGAGTCATTATCATAATGGAGCGCCAGTGTTCCGCCTCTACTGCAGTGCCAGGAGTTTCTGGTTCTATAGTTCAGCACAATTATGTTGTCGCTCGAGGAAAAAAAATAGCCTTCTTACACTTATTAAGTAAGTACTCTCCTATTTAATTCATCCAAAACAGAAGTACTTTTCCAAAAACGCTTTCTTTTTCTCTTCCGGCACTGTTTGTGCTGCAGCGCGTTCCCCAGGCAGCCCTACGTACAAAAATGCACAGCTTTTACCCATTTCCTTGCGAAGGAGATAGGGCATGACATCGGGGTTCGAAGAGGACACTAGCGCTGTCACGTCGGCTTTGGATAAAGCGCCGTGCATATTATCCACGATGGAAATGACGTTTAAAGGTCGCCGATTCTTGCGGAGATAGTCTAGGAGGATTTGCGCCTTCTTCTGTGACTGCTCATCTTCTTTGGCAACGACGTGTCCTAGAGAAAGGCCGTCGACCTTCTGCCGCTTTGCTGCAGGCGCTCCTGCTATTGCGACCGAGGAGGACATGGCTTATTTAGGAGTGTTGCTTCTTGAATAATTCCTCTGATGTTGTTGAAGTTATCCAGCAGCTGTGAATTCCGCTATTGCAGCTGGTAAGTTGATCTTCTTGTCGATCCTCAGGGCTCGTCACCAAGCGAAGATGATCACAAGAATCAAATTTCAAAATTCAAGAACTTGCTCTCTTTTCAAGGCGAATCCCGTAAAGTCTTGTAAAATCGAACTGCTTCCTCGACTGCGATAAAATCGAAGCGCGTTCAGTTGAACACAAACTTGTGAAATTACAACACAGCCGAGTCGTGCTCCTGGCGCCCACCAGCTTCTTCTCCTCCAAGACTGAAGATGACGTAGAATTCAATAGCGCAAATCCAGAAGATGAATGAAACGACGAAGGTGGCGCTGCTTGTGACGTAAAAACTGTTTCGGCGTCTCTTACGTGCTTCCAAAGCTTCTACGCGGACAAGCTCAACCTTTTCTTCGTAGTCAAAGTCGCTGGAGGCGGAGGTCATTTTTCACTGTCTTTGATTTTGACCGAAGAAGTAAGAACCAGCCTTCTCGGAATATTCTATCATCACCGAAGAAGTAAGAACCAGCCGTGCTTCTCGGAATATTCTATCATCACCTCCACATTTCTTGACCGTTCGTACATACAAGTTCTTGTTCAGGGAAGTCAAGAAAAACTACATAATTCTTCGTTGCAAAGCTATCATCGATCCTTCTAGGACACGAAGATGATCATTTGAGCAGAGGTCTTTGTTAAATAGACGCGTTCAGTTTTTTAGGTGCTCACGAGCCATTGCGAAATCTCATCCGATTCACGAACAATTCACGACTTCTGATCTCGTAAACGACTGGTACACTTTTCGAAGACTCTTTCATCTGAGTCTCTCTCGTATTCGAAGACACAATATCGGTGCATCTGCTGCGTATGTACAACTGCAAATATCTACATGAAAATTATATTTCATCGTCTTCTTCGTGTCCTCTTTGTGCTGGTGAAAGAACAAAGAAATCCTTGCTGTTCGAAAAAATTGCCACGTCGTTGTCCGACGACCATTATTGCATACTTCGGTTTTGTCGCGTACTATGGAAGAACAATAATATTAAAAAGACCTAGATATAACTCATCTTCTGTTTGAATTCAAGTTTCGTCGTTAGATATTTCATCTGACTCTTCATCCATGTTTTCATTCCTGAGAGACACCGCTGCAATAGAAGTATGCTGCTGCATGAGCAACTTCTTTCCTCTAACTATCATGAAAGCAGCAGCAGCAGCATGTCCGCATCCTATGCGACAGTCATGAAACTGTGGAGACCTTCATTCGCATCTCCAGTATCAGATCTTCAGCGTTCATCTTCGTCTTCCTCCCAGTCTTCAGCTTCACCCTGCATTCGTGTTTTCGTCTTTGTAACTTGCGCTCTTGTGCTTCGGTACGAAGGAAAAGCTCGGACCGCATTTCCCCAGGAAGAGTTCTGAAATGTGAATCCAATCTTCACACTTCGGAGACATCAACAGCGTTTCCAAGTCATCCCGACCAAACGCACCACGCGGAGGACGCCAGTTAATCACAGTTTCTCCGTAGTGTTCTCTCTCCAGCATGCCAATCGGAATGTAGCGATGGAAAAACGACAACCACTCTAACAAGAAACGTCGGGTTGTGTCGCGGCCCCGCTCATCGGAGCCCCAGTGTTCGAGACCATATTGGCAATACTTCTTGATCATGTCGAGGCGCTCGGTGGCGGATAAGTCGATGTGACGTTGCTCGGCGATTTCGCGGAAAACCTAAGGAGGCAAACGGGAATATATTGATTCTCTGTTCTTTCTTGGATTCATATGACGTAAACTTCACAGTGAAGAGTAAGCGAAAGTGCGGAAGAAAACGCTGAAACTCCAAATGTTCCCAAAGTCATCATCTCTCAGTAGTTGAACAATTGAAAAAGTACTTATTCTTAAGTAGTTATTATTACTACGCTCCGTACTTATTAATTAAACTTAGAAGTTAGTCTGTCAGTGATAAAAGTACCCATGGTTTGATCAGTGCTCCGCGTCCGATCATTACGGAATCCACGTAGTTTTCGTCCAAATACTTGTTATACTGCGTGTAGCTCATCACATCTCCACAACCTATTAGGGGAAGACCTGGAGCACAACCGTTTGCTGCACTAGACGTAGTTGATGTTGAAGGAATCTCTGCTAATCGCGTATGGCACTTTTTCAGATAGTCCCAGTTCGCCAGCTTTGTGTATCGCTGACGCGCTGTCCTGCCATGTAAGATCGCTGCGTCTGCACCCCACAAATGCAATTTCGGCAGCAACTGTAAAGCGTCATATCGAGAACAGTCGTCATAGTGGGAAATCCGGATTTTGCACGTCAAGAATTTGTCCGCGGAGAGAACAGATTTCATGCCGAAAATCATCTGCCTAAGAGCTTTTTCGCGTACGGTGAGGATACTGCCGCAGCCCTTGGTGTGCAGTTGGTCCAGAGGACAAGCGGCATTGATGTCCACAAAGTCCACGTCGCAATGGTCGTTCAGAAATTGAGCGCATTTCGTCATAGCTCCCGCACTACCACTTGTAATCTGAACTCCAAACAGTTTCTCACTTGCGTGTCGTCTTAGCATAGCAAGTTCGGAAGCTTGCCCATTGAGGACTGACTCAGCTAGGGCCATCTCGGAAACGGTCACTTCACAGCCTTCATCGACGCAGAGTCGACGGAAGGGTAAGTTGCCAACAGTAGTTAAAGGTGCTAGAATCCGTTTAGCACAGAACAGCTTCTGTTTCTTCTGTTCGCGCAGAGCTGGCATATCGTGAGTGCGGTCGTTGGTTTCGAGACTGGCGCCAACAAGAAGACTAGAAGTACTGGGATCGGGATTTGCAGACGAGGAATCTTGTTCAAGTTTAGGTTCTACACCAGGGTCTTCAGAGGCGGCAGCGACAGCATTAATAATTGTAGTAGATGTACTAGTATCTTCTATCGTCGATAAAACTTGTTCTTCAGTAGAGGACGTAGGGCCACTAGTCTCCGCACCACCACCTCCCCCTTCTACTTGTTCGACCGTTCCATCTTTACCTAGCTTGTTGAACAACTTCATGGCTGCCTCTGCTTTTCCAAAAGACAGGCGACGACGACGCAACCCGTTCTTCTGTTCGTCTGTTAGCTGATTGATTTCCGCAATGCCAGAGGCTAGAGAGGTGCAAAGAAGTTTCTGACGGATGAAGTCCTTGAGAAAATCTCTATCATGTTGGTGGGCTGCTGTCGGTGAACAACTGGCTGTTGAGTCAGTTGAACCAACTGGGGAATTTTCACTAATCTTGACCCAGTCAAAGATGTTTTCGCCTGTTTCCATGTCCACGTGATCTGCTGCCCAGAGGCAGTTGATCCCAGCCGGGCAAAACCCATGGGCACGAAACGCTAGGCATTCCGTGTTTTTCTTGATTGTTGACAAAGTTCGTGTGAGCAAGGAATCGGGTGATGTCGAAGCTGGAGTTGATGTCATAATCTTAATAGAATCCGCTTCCGCAGTGTCTCCATTTGTTGTACTACCATTCGTCGCTGCAACTACTTCATAAGGCATTTGCATGTCCCTTATTTCCGCCAGTTTTGCTTGCACATCATGGTTTTTCTTACAGGTTCCAGCTTGTTCCATCTCGCAGAAATTCCAGAAGGCTTTGTTCAGGCAGATAGTCTGCAGTCGAGGATGATCCTGTCGCTGATCCTTAGCCATCTGCTTGCGCTCTTTGTTCTTGTACTGTCCACGATGTCGCTTCTTCCCTCCTCTGGTATCGTTGCCGTCTTGAGCAGCTGGGCGCTTGTTATTCCAACCAGAGGCATCCTTTGAGGCGTTGGCTGTATTCTCGGTAAATTCTGCTCCTGCTGTTGGATCAGTGTTGGAGGCATCTGCTATTGAAGGAACTGCTGTTGCTCCAGAAGTCTCCCTAGCAGGAGCTGTATTACTATTAATAGACTCCTTATTCTCTTGTACCGCACCCACTGCTTTCACTGGCGGAGTGTTAATGAAGCGTACTTGAATGGGGGCATCACCTCTTGCAAGGAGGCGCCCAAGATGGGCAAGTCGCTCTGTTTCGTCCACTTGTTCAACCATTTTTTTCTATCTTTTCGTAATAAATTGTTCTGACAGGTCGCCCTAGCTTGTAATCCAGAAATTTTGAGAGGTAAAAAAAGGTCGCTATTCATCATATTGATACTATCATTGACTCTTCTGGTACTGACTGCATTGCAACAATTATAGGGGGTAGCTCGTTGAATGTTGCGGTCAAAAGAACTTGCACTGCAGAAGGGAAACGTGTGTGATCTTGTTCGTGTGATCCTTCCGAATATACCTTGGAGCCGAACAAGACGCTCTAAAAGGAACATCAACATCGTTCTCGTGATGCTTTCTGTGCTGGCCAGGATCGTGATCAGTGCAATTTTGGAAACATAATAAATCTGTCACGATGGAGGGAACGGAAACTCATTTGTATAGCCTTCTAAAAGGAACACCAACATTTCTCGGCATGGCTTTGTTGAGAAAGATGAAGATCTTTAGCCTGGTACTTACTTTATAGATAATTGGGTTTCTCTTTCTTTCCTGGATTTTTCGACTCTTTGGCCTTCTGAGCGATTAGGGTAGGCGCTGAATCTAAAGGTCGTAAGAATCTTTGTACTACCCAGTAGGTTGGAATCAACGGATGCTGATCACATCATCAGAGTTTGTCCCATATATAAGATGAGTAACGAGGAAGGAAAAATGTGAGAATCAATCACATGAGCCCGAAGACAGCGGCATGGCGAAGCATTCTCCGAGACAAGAACCATCGTGCGCTGTGCGAGGTATTTACGTGAAACACAACCAAGAGCATTGAACATGCCACAGAAAGCCAGTAGAAATAAGCGGAATTGGGAAAATGCTAAGACAAACAAGGTAACAAGCATCACGGGTTCAAAAAGTATCTGTATCACTTAGGCAAAAGCAGCTTGGAAGCTGTCAAGTCGCTTCTTTTCGATTTCTTTGCCCAACTTGCTCGCTGCATCCGCAATCTCTCCGACATATTTGTCCGCTGACGGCATACTAGGCTTCTCTGGTACCTGGAAAGGAGAGTGAGTATCAGGAGAAGTTTTCTCGGGATACTACCCAACTTGGAGAAGTCAGTCAATGTGATGCTCTTGAAGACGAAAATCTTAATCTTTTTGAAACAAGGTGTCATTTGGACAGGGTGCGAAAGAGAAAACACGTCTGAGAAACTGCAACAGACTCTCGAAATACCTCCGTAAGCCCAAAAGAGCCAAGCACATGGTATCCGACCTTCGCGTACAGCTGCTGCATACTCTGTTCATTTCCTGACTTCTTTGCGGTTGCCGCCTCCTCACCACTGATGTAGAACGTTTTTACGAACTCCTTCTCCTGCTCGGCCTGTAAGTGCGCTAGTCGCTCGCTCACTGAGCCTGCTGCAGTCGTTAGAGTCAGCTTTTATTCATCTCGGTGCCCTCAGCTCGACCCCTTTCGCATGAAACACAAGGGAAAAAGGTATCGAGATGTTGAGAAAGCTGGATAAAAGCTAACCGTAAATTCGCCTTCGCTTTGCCTGAAAGATCGATGGCTTTCAAGCTAGTGGCGAAAAACCCAAGAACTGGGTCGTTGCCCTTGCCACCAGCAATACCGGCTAACGCAGATTCGAAAGCCGCTGACTGCATTGGGGTATGAAGGGAGTAGAGGGAGGAGAAGATGAAGGCTAAGTGCTGGTCGATAGGGGTGCAACATCTAGGAATCTCTTTCATGATGCTCATGACCTCGCACGTAAAATAATGATTTTGAACCAAAGAAGACCAAGTCGCCACATCTCTTTAAACAACAAAATATATCTATCAATAGAGCCAGAGCACTAGTCTTTGCTTCAAATACTCGAAGAAGCGTTTTCGTAGCGACGGAAGATTTCATAACCTTTATCCCCTGTAAATTTTCTTTGGAAATCGGATTTCACCTCCTTTACTATGGATTCCTGCAGCTTAGCAGACGTTGAGTCCTCAAACGCTAGGATATTCGAGAGCTGCTTTTGTGCCTTCGATAGCAGCGAATGCCTCTCCTGATCGATCAATGCCTTCCGATAGGTCGCCATCGATGGCTGTGTTAAATCAAACGACAGGAAGTAGCTGAACATGATTAAGCAACAAAAGTACCTCCAATGATCCTTTTTTAATAGCTACTTCCTCGTCCACAAAAATCGAAAAAAACACGAGCTCACTCTCAACTCCAGATCAAGAAAAAACTAGTACCCCCATATCCGAGCTGAAGGACGCTAATTTGTCGAGACAGCTTGAGTCGTTGGCGAATCTCTTCATTGCTGCCATGATCTTGTCCTCTCCCTCCATTACGTCGCTAGCCGTCTTCTGCTGTGCCATAAATTCGTTTCGAGAGACCACGTCGCCAATGTATCGGGTCGGTTAGAAGTGATGGAAGATGTAGATTGATCTCAAAAATTTTGTTGATGCTCTGTCTTTCTTTATTAGTAGCTTCTATCGCTTTTGCATGCAGATGTAGGTGGTATACGAAGAACCTGATGGTCGACGTAACAAACCAGCAGCTGCAGCGAGGGTCATAAAATTGTAAATTTCCTAAATGGGCAAAGCCATCAAACCGATCTGAGTAACAACATCGAATCGCCATAACCAAATGCAGTATACGAGGTCCACATCACCATGCCTGTCCCGAAACTCTTCAGGGCGAAATAGTAGTTAAAAAACGGAAACGTCTTCAGCATGAAGATGGATGCTCCGAAGATCAACCTGAACAGGGAGGATGCTGGAGGGTGTCTGTGGATAAATGCGTGCGTATGTTTGCGTAAGTATCCAGTTGACAAACAGGTCCCTACAAAATCTAAAGGGAAACTCTATTCGGTAAACTGAAATAAGCGAGTAACTACTTAAATAAAATAAGCGAGATACTGAAGAAGGAAGATTAGCCCTGTCAAAAACTACCAGTGATCTCGCACCCATCCTCCTTCCTTCATCTTCTGCGTTTGGAGTTGACCGATGTGAGATGCCTCTATCCTCACTCTCATGCAGTACTTGTACGCATCCTCTTCACTCAGGTCGAAGAGCACGGCCAGTTCAGGATAGTGAAACTTGTAATCAGCAGGAAAGGTGTACTGCAGTGAGGTGCGCTCCTGTGATGTGGAGAGATGATGAGAAATGTATCTACTACGTGCAGCTGCTGCAAACGGGACATCCGTTTTTGTGTTAGGTGGGTAGTGAGCAAAGTGGACTGCAAGAACGTATCAGCCAGGAGCTTCGTAAAAATTTATAGTCTCTACTGAAAACCTCGGTGTAGAAATAAACGGATATGCGGATAGGGTGAGGCTTTCAGTTCTGGCCAAAAAGTGCCGCTTTCGGGCACCCCTTGCCTGGCTCAGACCTCCGCGTCGGAGGTTGGCCCCATGGACGGCGAGCCAGGTACCCTCGGCGGTTGCCTCTCTGCGAATGTCGACGACACCGGAGGCCTACAGTCACGCGATTGCCGGGGTGTATGGCTGTGCCCCAGGTCTTGCACCTGGCTGCATTTTTCCAAAAATCTTTACGTGGTGCAACGAGAAAAGTCCTGGAGGTCTAAAAAAATTTATAGTCTTCACTGAAAACCTCACCTCATCCGCGTATTCGTTTATTCTGAAAAAATGCTACTTCTACTGAAAATGTCACCTCATACACCGAGATTCCTAACTTTACCTTATCAGCATATCCGTTTTGCCACATCACGCTGAGTAGTTCTTCCGTTGACACGTAGACGTCGGCTTCTACGTTAAGTCCGTCTTTCGCGCGCTTTAGGAAATCCTGGAAATCCTTTGGCCGCTTCTCATGGTCTGTGACCACTTTGAGGTACTTTCATTAGAAGAGGGGCGTCGGGTTCGATAATTGCTTGAAGAAATAAATCTACGACTAGGACTACGAGGTTTATAAATATTCATAAATATGTTTATTATAAAAAAATGAGAAGTCGTTTACTACTTGATGGTGGAGGTTCTATCTAGGTTTCGCCTATGCGAAAGAAGATTTCTGATGCGAAGGTCACTCAAGCGAGTGCTGCCTCATGGGCTAGTAAAGATGGACACCACACGACACTAGTACGAGAAGGCAACTGCGTGCACTTGCACACAAGAAAGATTCGCTAAGAGAAAGTTATCGTTATACATGTTCTCTCAAAGTCAAATGCATATTCGTCATAATTAAGAAACGTCTCTACTTGTTTCGTCTCTGACCCGAGCTGATCGCGGGATGGTAGTGTCAGCAAAAAATCGTCCCAATCGATGCCTGCTTTGCCTGGCTTCACTATCTTATACTTCGTCACGAACATACCGCCCTCGCCGGTCTGTTGGTGTTGGAAAGGTCGAGGATTGTCAAGGACAATCTGATGTAGATATTTAAGTAGCACATGCTTGCCAGGGAATGTGTGTGATGAATATTGATATCAAAGAAATGCCTAATCTGAGTAGAGACCACATATCAAAACTCACAGACTCAGGATTCTAACGTTGCTCTATCAACAAGACGACGTTTCCTACCTCCATCGGATTTTTCACGCCGAAGAAAGTCCTTCGCTGCAGGCCCTGCAACATCCGAGAACATGGCCGAGTCGCCCGGCCCGTGGACACGCGGAGAGTCGACAACATAATGTAGTTGCTGAGTCAGCCTTTACGGATCACAAAATTGTTGAAAATTACCAGTCTACTCTTCGTTCTGAAACAAAAAAAACTCTAACTTAATTGGTGTATTACACTCCTGAAACACTACGGTCCGCGACTGGAAATAGCTTTGGTTCTTGAGGGGAAAAGCCTTCGCTCCAGATCACTCGGATGACTCTCTCGGACGCAACTCTAAATGCAGTTGTTGTGAAGAAAACCACACATCGTCCTCCATTGTAGTCTTCGTTGTTGATGTAGACAACGTTCGTTGACAATTTGCTGTAGCACACATCATGCACTCGCCTGGAGCCTGCGTTGGATTAACATGAAAATTCTAGAAGTGCAAGGATTACTTTGATTGTGCAAGCGAGGTGGAAAAGGATTGCTTGTTTTATCGCAACAACAACAAGTGTAAAATAATAATAAGCAAGGAAAAACAACTTGGCATTATAGACTAGTCTCGAGTCTAGAAAATTCTGTGTATTGGCAGTTTCTACGTCCACGTTGTCCTTACCTCAGTTTGGCAAGTAATAGACGTGCATTTTCTTGACAAAAAATTTAATCTCCTGACCTTGTAGTTGATGGAAAATGTGACATCACCACCTTACAAAATGACTAAGACTAAGTTAGTACCTTCTACTGGTGTGGCTGGCATGAAGATCATATGCACAAGTGAAGATAGTACCCCTAGTGAGCGAAGAGCAGCAGAAAAACTGATAGTCCTCTTATGATCAATGACGTTCGTTTTTTCAGTATGACGGAGTACTAAAAACTGTGATGAAATCCTATATTGAATACTTCCACAGAAGTTGTAACGGAGCCCTTGAACAACATGAGAAAAACAGTGTTCTTCCTTCTCCTATTCCACAGGTTCATCGTCTTGCCCTCGATAGAAATCATCCCGTGTTATATCCGCATTCTGCTGTTGTTGTTGACTGCTGGGGCTGGACACAATCAAAGATGGCCGTAAGAATCCCCACTGGTGTGGCGTAGAGAGCGGAGTGGAGATCGGCGGTTCGTTTCGTGGCTTAGAGCAACTTATTGTACAGGAGTACGTTGCTTTTTTGTTTGCGCATGACATACTTCAGGTACCGTAAGGCACAAGTACATGACGCTTCGTTTTCATCAGGATCTTCTGCGTCTACTAACAATCTTTTATTGCTGCATCTATGTATACATTATAGAAGAAGTTACTACTTAGAATCCTAGTATTTAGCCACGTTTGTGGCAAATTGGAGTACCTACTCATGTGTGTTTATCCAACAATCTTGTGCTTGTCAAAGTCAATGTCAAATAATAATCGATGCTCATAAGTCCTTGCGATTCCAACTTTCGAACGCGTGCTTTCACTGAGGGCACAGCACATCCTGGAGCGTCTGAAACAAGCGCTGTTTGCGTATTGCCCTCTTCACCTTGGTCGTGGTCAGTGCTATGAAAGGTACAGATGAAACAAATATGAACATGTTGGTTCTCCTGCGCTATCAAGGACATACAAACAAGTAGTCACGACAAGCAGGATTCAGTCAAGTGATTGTTGGTAAATAAAGTCCCCCATCTCGGTCCATGAATTTTTAGCTACTAGTTACTTTGAGTGCTGCAACTACTTGCAACTCATTTGATTACTGTACATTCATCGCTGTCAACCACAATCTCCTCTTCATAACTCAAAGGAAATGCTCCTGTCGCCGGAGGACTCACCTCCGTCGTTTTACTGCAATAAACCGTGCTCGCGGTCGTGCTCACCGCAGGTTTACTCTGGTAGCGATGCTGATACACACTTCGTGGAGATAGCACACGCTGTGGCGGTAGGTCGACATGTCCAGGCTTACGCGCTGGAGGCGGCCCAGATGGATTCCCCGCTGAGTTCAACGAGTTGTAGAGATATCCGGCATTCAACTGCATGTCAGGTGACGTGGCACCTAAAGCGTCTCGGCTTTGCGGAAGCTGCTTAGAGAAGGTGCTCCTGAGAAAATGGTTTGTCAGTTCGCTGTCTTCTATCATGGGGACGATGCATAATGTAATAATTTTTCTTATAGAAGCACTTTGGCCATCCTTCCTCGTCCTCACGAACGAAAATGGTGTAGAATTTCACTTTTTACTACGACATCCGCCATAATATACGCTAGTGATGAAGAGGCAGCCCTTCGCGAAGCATGCACGAATGCCGGGACGTGATCTGGTGACGGCAAATTTGCCTCAAGATCGTGAGGGGGTCGTGGGGATGAAGATACTGAAAGTCCTTCTACCATAGTAGAATCAGGATGATCATGCTCCGGTTGTTCTAGTCTCCGTCTATAGTCGTTATTGGAAGCAGTAACTTCTTCTGGTAATAGCGTTGGGCGTCGTTCCACATTTTTACCATGGGATTGGTCAGCCTCCGAGGGTATGTCAGAATAGGGACTACTGCGCAAGTCACTTGTTCTTCCTTGCGGTCGGGTCATGTCAGCGCAACTTGGATGCAGTTGACCAACATAGTCGTCCTGATATTCTTGATCTTGTACGTGCTGTCTGAGCACACCAAGTTCTGCGTCATCGACAATTTGATATGCTGGCATTATAGTGCTGTGTACGCCCACCTCTGGGCTCATCGGCTTTGAATGCGGCTTTGATTGAGAGCTTGGTTCCTCACGATGCGGAACTCGTACTACTGTTTCCCGTTCTAGAAGCTGCTCTGATCCATGATTAGTGTTGCTACCTTGGTCCGTCTTCGTCTCCAGCAAAAATAGTCCCCGAGTATTGTGCGCATCCAACTGTGTTCCCATGAGCGTGTCGCGTCTGACGGGCGAATATAGCGATCCCCTACCGGGATCAAAAGCTGCATGTCCCGCACAGAGTCCGACTTCTGTACCGCGGATATTAACGGAGGGAAAATAAGGAGAAGTGTCTGTGTACAAGTAGAACTACACATACACTTTGGAATACTACCTGACACTGGAATGGGTGAAGTTAGTGCCGGATAGTTGGAGTGAATGAATAGTCTTTGCTTTAAGGATCCACGAAAACAGGTCTGCCATAACTATAGTCACCGCAGTGCCCAATGGCTGCGGTGCTCTGGGTATTGACATCGCTGGTCCAGCTAGGGTCGTGTCAGTCGCCAAAACAAATGGCTGTGTTCGGTCAAGAGCGGTTAGTTGCCTAGTACCTGATTGCTCCTCTGTTCTCGTGGCACCACCGCCACGACCTCCGATTGTTCTATTTGCACCACCTGCGGTCATTTGGTCCTCCAAGGTCACTACTTCTGCAAACGAGATTGGTGATCCTGCGTGAGGCGAGCGATGTCCACCACCTAGCAGCGGTGATCGCAGGCCAAGAGGATGATCCTCCACGCGAGCAAGCGGCACCAAAGGCACGAAGCGAAAGGCCAAAGAAGGACGCTCTACGCATAATGTCGCGTTTTCCTCGAGTAGAATTTCTTCGCCCGGACCAAGTTCTATCCCCATGTCTTTGTGCCTTGTCGGCCACATCGTGCGAGCAAAAAACCGCCATCGCTTGGCCGTTTTCGTCGGACTCAAGTTTTCTGTCACTTTTTCCCCACGAATCTCTAAGAGCTCTTCAGGACAGTGCGACTCTAGTTGTATTAAAGTTATAATAGTACTACTGCTAGTACCAGCAGGTCGGTCCTTTTGTTTTTGATCCGCAGCGGCAGCAGCAGTATCAAAAGACCGCCAAAGACTTCGCTGATATTGACGTCCGATGCGCAATTTCTGCGGTTCGCCGTCTGGCGGTAAAACGTAGTACAGTTCCCGACTAGTCTTGTTGTTTCCCTCCCCACTTCTTGTGGAGGAGGAAGCTGGACTAGTGCCAACAGTTACTCCTCCGACAGCAACGTTTGCTGGAGAAGATGAGGAACTGACTCCAGTTGGAGACGAAGAACTTGTTGACGCCGTTGAAACTTCAATAAAATAGAGAGACTGGCGTCGCAGAGCCTTCAGACTCGCAGGGTCAGGCACAGCTAGCCAGCGTCCCGCAACACAGTTCATCGGCATCGCGAGCGGAGGTATTGTCTCAGGCACCACAGGTACAAAGCTAGGGACCCTGGGGTGATCTTGGTCTTGCTGTAGATATGATGATACTACTAGTGCCTCTGCTGCTGCCGGCATAGGTGAAGGTTCAACGTCTTCATGTTCATCCACAGAGTTGTGATTGTTTTCTTCTTCTTTCTGTGATGCTGGTATCTCAATCTCCTTTTTTACACCTTCATAGTTCTTCCCATCAGCTACTCCCGCCTCCAGCTTCTTTGGCAGAAATTTTTCCATCTCCTCAAAGATTTCGAACCTTAAGAAAAGAAAAGGCGACTCCTTGAGATTTGAAATAAAGCCTAAGATGTCGCCATGTCGAAGAGAGCGCAGCGTCCCTTTGGTTATTATCTCCCAAGAATTAGACAGTCTGGCAGTGTTCTTGAGCAGATCGATTTTCTATGTTCAATTGAGGCCAGCAGCTACATCATACTAACTTACTTATAGTATTAATCTCATTGGCCTTAGAATTCAAGAAACTTATTCTCCCTAAGAGATATGTATGAAGAGCTTCAAGAAACCACATCTAACAACCCCAGATCTTGATCTGTAGAATAAGAATATCAATATGCTAGTATAGAAGAGATAGAAAACTTAAAAACAAAGAGTAGAAGATGCTAAGATATTTCTAGCCCCCTTAACATTCAAAACAAGTCCATTACTCGAGACGCACTCCAACTGGTAGCTTTTCGAAGGATCATGTCCACCTATTTCGTCCAAGATGCGAAAGTGCTCCCGGCTTATGGTATGACGTGTAACTGCGTCTGCTACTAGAGTTAGATTCTAGGAGGGGACTGGAAGAACTCTATTGTTGTACTCTTTCTAGTTGCGGATAGCTTCACGTCACCAGTTGTAACATTATTAACAGAGCAATTTATAAGGTGTCACGGCTCGCATGGCATGGAGTGCATGGATCACATGGAGTAGCATGGAGCTAAAGGGGGGAGCTTCTTGCGCTCCTTAAAGCTCTGCGCTCCATGCTACTCCATGCACCATGCGTGCTATAAACTACTCTGTTATTAAGATAGTAGATGTACTTAGCTGACATGAATCTCGTGATTCACTTTATATATCATAACACAACATCCCAGTATCCTTGAGGCTGCTGCAGTCTGCCGACTCGTGTACAATCGTGGAGGACACAGGGAGGCCTCGCAAAGTCAACTCGCGAGAGATGCGACTCATGGTAACACTCTACTAGACGATGACACCACGAACTTCCTTCTTCTTGTCTCGATAAAATTAGATCGAGTTGGTCCTTTTGAACAGGGGTTGGTTCTTTTGAACAGGAGCTTTCTTTTGTCGTTATACAGGCTTAGTCTGTAGTGGGAATTCAAGCTCGATCATAAGTGGAAAGGTAGATCATTGCCCTATAAAATCTTGAAAGATCTTGCTCCCCATTCTAGAAGATACAGAAGGCTCATCCTTAAAAACAACTGGATCGCTCGATCGGAGACGGGAGCAGCCGCATTATTCGTCAAATCGCCCTCCAGGATATATTAGGGCTGTCCAATATTCGTCTTTGATGTGCATCCTTGAGCCGTATCGTCATGAGAATACTCTCGCATACTTTTCAGGGATGCTCTCAATAAAGATGAATTATCTCTCGCCTTAACTATAAGTCCATTTTTAGAGGTAGGGTTTTTGTGTTTCTGTGTCCCGTCTGTTATGCCTGCCTCCCTGAGGAAAGCCATAACAAACGGCACTAACAGGAACACCTTTAACCTACACTTAACATTTGGAGTCCAACTCCCTAGCAGAAACAAACTCCTGTCTTCCGCGAGCGTGTGTGATATCAATGACGAAAGAGCCTGCTGGTCCTGCTGCTGGTGGTGCGATGTTGTTGAGGACGTCTTCTTCTCTACTTATGGACGCTTCAGCTGCACACGACACCGAGTGGTCATTAACATCCATACTAGAGCAAGAGGCTTCTCCTGCTGCGTCATCGCTTGGTTGTGCTTTCAATTCGTTCTTCATGTTCTCCTTGTCACGAATGTCGTTCACAACACCGAATTCTTGTTCCTGCTCTTTTTTCATCGCCACTTCTTGGTGCTGTTGCTCACTGCTTGATGACAACTGCTCAAGAACGGGACTCTTCTTGTGGCCATCTTCTTGCAGCAACATTACAACTTCTTGTTCAGAAGTTCGATATTCATTATACACTTCCTGACTGAGCCTCTCTGCTTCTTTCGCTGCGTTCGCAAAAAAGTCAAAGACATCACCAGCGCCAAATCCTTCTTCACCCGATGCTTGTCGCTGTCTCTTTCTTGTATTAGTTCAAAAATAATAGTTGCGATCACCATAAAAAATACTAAGTAAGATAATCTTAGAAGTATGTAGTATTACATAATGTAACACATGTAGATGTTACATAATGTATGTAGTGCCATTACTGTAATGAAACACAAACTTCTGTACAGTCAAAAATAGTACAGTCCTCTATTCTTTAAGAGACCTTAGTCGTAACTGCTTCCCGTTTTAACAACTCTTCTTCCCTGCGCAGTGTATCCTCTTCAATCATGCGGCGCACCGCTGGGTTCGGTTGCTCCTCATGCGGTTCTACATCCGGCACAGCCGGTTCGTAATCGCCGTCGTCATATTGGATGTCACAGCTCCCATCCTCGTGAGCATTCACGATCGTACCATTGCACACCATCAATCCCTTCCAACGGGCTCGCACGCGCATACCAGATATAAGCAGACGTCGATCGCTCCACTCCTCTGCTTTCGAGGTTGCTGCGCTGGCGTCCATTCTGGACGAAGCTGCGTTACTAGAAGCGTTACTAGATGCCACTGCTCTATTTAGAAGATAGAGGTAGTTTCTCACTATCGATCCCTGGTCGAGTGAGTTGCCCTCTTCCCACTCTATTTTCGCCTTCAGATCAGGGAGACTTCCCTCAGTATAGTCCACACGAGATAGTGATAAACTACCCTTAATCTATCATCCGCATCAGATGCCACAAGTTCTGCACGCGGAGGTGGAGAGGAAGACTCACGTGGTGGTGGTGGGGCTTCCTCTTTTCCTTCCTCTCTTTTCTGGCCCCCACCAAGCATTAGAGATGAAGCACTGGTCATCTCCGAGTGAAAGAAAAGCAACAACCGGTGCTACTGCCACAGCCAGTGACCCCTATTTTTACACTGTGAAAGTTTGAGGGAGACTACTCTATCAACCCACGACATCATGATGCTGGTGCTTGCCGGGAGGACCCATTTTTTGGATCATTCGAAAAGAGAGATAGAGGTAAGTAGGTAACGTACGGTACACAAAATAAATAAACAACAACAAGAGCCACTGCCCCCAGGTGTTAGACTAACTAAGCCTCCTATCATACTGGAAAACAGTATCTTCGACATAAATGGCCTCCAATTGCTGGCGACGGTGTGGTCTGCGGTACAACAACAGGAGGTTGTTGGCGCATACTTTCCTCCAAAAGCACTGCGTCAACCACACCATTGTCCAGTTTGCGAAGCTCGATTTTTTAGACTGAGAATCCGTAGTGCTAGTACACAACAACTGCAACTGCCAGAACTTCTAGAAGTAGAACGAAGAGAGTCCAGTACAAGTAGATTCCGATTGTTCCAGAATCCATGGAAATGTCCGTTTGCTTTCCATTGTCGCAGGAACTACCGGTGAGAATCATGGTCCAAGCTAGCACCTAAAAAAGAAAAGCAAAACTCCGATAAGCCAAACACACAAATATCAAGAAGTCGATGACGAGTCATCTTCCAGTTCAATCAAGAAATACAGATACACGTCTCATAAGTAACAAGAAGTGGCATCCTTGGCCGTTTCTCCTGATCCGGACTGATGCACTTAAGTGCCTAGAGTTAGAGCGTCGTAGCCACCTCTTTACGGGATGATCAAGATCTGTCTGGAAAAAGAAAAATGCACCTCAACATATTGAATATGACCACTCCCACTCTACTTCATACCTTTCGGAAGATGAGTGGGGTACTGGCGTCTATTCCATGTTTGTCACCTACTGGCTTCTAGTATTCCAAGCGCCACCACAGGGCCATCCCCAGGGGGGGTGCGTCCCTGTACTATCATATAGTTGATGCTTCCCCGACTTCTAAAAAACGTACCAGCCTTAAAGAAATGCGATGATGCGCGCTGTCTGGTAGTGCCATTTCGCTGCAGGGTCCAAACGGCGGAGGACTTCTTCAATATCGTACTTGATTTCGTTCACAAGGAACCGAAATTCCTTCTCACGCACTTGCACAGCAGGTGGCGTTCCTAGAGTTAGAGATACTAAACACGACTGTGACCGTGTCGTAATTCTACTTCCTCTAATCTTTAGTATCCTGTTCCTGTGGTTAGTGTTGCTGGTCCTGGGGTTAATAGAGCAAGTTCCTAGTGATGAGACAATGCTCCTCTAGCCGCGACTGCAGAATATTCTTGACTCTTGAGAGCACGTGCTTAGCCTATAATAATTACACCTGAGCTGGTGCCTTAACGTAAGCAACTCCAGGAGTACGCATCCGAATGCATACACCTCTGTCGCCTCAGAGACAACCCCACTTCGGATGTAGTGCGGACAAACATACCTGAAAAATTGGTAGATAAGTAGTTGCAGTAAAAATCCGTGGTTATCTACTCATCTGCTAGGTAGTCTTCAGAATCTTTAGTAGATGATGATTGCTTTGCATTGATTAAGATAATGTTTTTTCAACCGGATACCTCACGGAACACATAAAACCACCAGAGATGTTGGTACCCCACAGTCCCCGCCGTCTGCTTGACGGTATGCGTGCCGTCTGATTGCGCAATACAAGCAAGACCGAAGTCTCCGACCTTTGCTGTGTCCTTTCGATCCAGTATGATGTTCGGGGTCTTTTTCTTAGATTTGTGCTACTACCATTTCTAAAATAAGTACTCCACGTCTATTTTTGCCTAAGCGAAAGCGGTATTAAAAACAAGTCCAAACTCCTAATGATGACTCTAGGTCTATGCGAAAAAACAATTCCAAATTCGTAGTGATGTCTCGGTGAAACGCTTTGGGCTTCGAGTAGTGAAGATGCGAGATCCCTTGCGCAGCATCGAGGGCGACTGAGGTGCGCTGCTCACCGGAGAAGGGCCTGATGCCCTCCCTCGCCCAACGTATTCTTTGGTGCACATCTCCTCCAGATGAAGGTTAGAAAAGTTTGAATATACACATCACCTCCAGATCGAAAGTTGGAAACGCCTATTCTGGCGGGTACTAACTTCTCATTTGGTTCTACGTGTCAGGCTAAGGTTTTTTTTTGGTACCTGGGTCTACAACTCTCGCTTTTCCTTCCCCGCGAGAAGCCTGAAGCGGGGGATTCCTTCTACAATGGCACTCGGTGATGTAGCAAGAATCATTATCATTCATTCCCTAAAAAAGTTCATACACCAAAATGCGTTGACTCCCATGCCGAGCGAACCTGTAATTTGAATATGAATGAAAGTGAATGAAGTAGAGGCTCCTTTAATAGGTTCGTTGTTTCTTCTATTTTCGACTGAAGAGTTATTCTAGTAGTAGTTTCTATCACATGTTCAATTGAATGTGAACAACTAGTACCCCGCGACGACCAACATCTAGTATTTGCATCACCCGCCCGTCAATATAAAAACAAGTAGGTCGAAATACTCCATCAAGAATGTGACATCAAGACGAGATTCGAATGTGTAAATTATACGTATACCCCTTGCAGAATATAACAAGAGTAGATTCATCGAATGTGTAAATACCCCTTGCAGAATATAACAAGAGTAGATTCATCGAATGTCGAAATACCCCATCAATATGACAAGATTCGGATGTCGGAATCGGGTGAGGACTTTGACTTCGTCATCGAAGCCAGCCTCTTCCGGGAGGTCGATGACTTTGATAGCCACCTCATTCCCATCTTCGAGTGTTCCTTCCGCATTAGAAGGATCCAACACGGCAGATTTATGCTGTTGGAGCAAAAAGATTCTTCGATCTAATCCTACTAGGATCCTCGTCCTAGTCTTTTAGATCCATCGAAAAGACCAGGATTAAGTAGATGGATCTAAAAGACCAGGACGAGGATCCTAGTAGGATTAGACAGATCATATTCAACTAGGATTAGACAGATCATATTGATATAGAAACCTCTATTTCATTGGTTAGTGTTCGAGGCGAAAATAACTTGGTTAACTCCTTTAGGGACATGAAAGTTTCAGAACTTATACTAGGAGGGACGAGAAGATGACTAGAGAGCGAAATACTAAATCAGACTATAAAAAGAACAGAGTTCTAATCCATACTTACCTATAACATATCCACTTGTTATGTTGCTCGACATCTATTTCTATGCAAGTATCTTCCACTGATGTTGACACTTGACAATATCATTATTACGGGACAAGAATTCTTAATATAGACAGCACCAAAAGCCCCACATCCGAGTCGATTGAGAATGCTCCATCCATTCGTTGCGCGCTCTAAGACGCCATATTCTATCTCCTGCGCTTCGAGAACCATTTCTTACGCAGGTGCATAGAGATGAAGGGTTTCTCCTATGCTGTTGTATTACGAGAAGGGCTTCCTACGCGGCTGGTGCGTCGGGAAGCATCAGATGGAGGACGCTCTAAAGATTCTTCTGCCTGGCTGCGAAACCATTATTTCCGAGAACCATCAGATGGTCGGTGTACTGCAAATAGGATCCGGAAAGTGAGGTTGGATACGCCGTCCACAGGGTTGCTGCGCTTCGAGAATTATGCCCATTCTATCCTGATCCTGCGTATTGACGACCATGGCACTAGAAATTCCTTGAAGAATAAATTCCACGAGAGTAATATCCGATGTCGTTTTTACTCATCATCATTTCGGAGGAAATGGAAATGGAATCTACTATCCATATGAATATCGAATAGTCACATCTTCATGATCTTACTTTATTTAAAAATCCTACCCGACCAGCAGCTACAGGTTGAGTATCTTCGTTGATGGAACAGTTCCATCCAATTGGAAAAGAAACACTACTCGTACCACTACTGTGAAGAAGAAAGACATCACTTCTTTTTGCAGAAAACTAAGTATATCTGTTATTGATCTGCAAGTGGTGTGCTATCTTTAATCTATTTCTGACCACCTTCTTCTTCAACAGCTGTTGTTCAGTCAAGAAAGTATTGATGTTCTTTTTGGTAGTACGTGAACTCAATAGCAGTGACAGTGATTGCTCAAAACACGTGGCACTCATCTTGACGAGAAGAGGACATGATTGATCGGAAGTCAAATGGTGAAGTCACCCAACTCAATCCGGTGACGGCGGTCACCCTGCGCTAACACGATTATCAGTACTAGCGTAGTCTCGGTAGTTGCAGCGCGGACAGCTCATAGATGAGTCTATAAATGGCGAGGGTTTTCAATTCGATTGATATAATAAATTATGTCGGTTCGTGGAATCATCTCCACCAAGGTCTCCGCCGTGTCATAATTTTAATTGTCACCACACGGCAACACGATGAACGCACCTCGCCCATTGGATCTCCCTCGAGCTCCGAGGGGGCACCTTCACTGATTAGCGCTTCGCACTTCTCTTCACGTTTCTGCGGCAACGAAGGCCGCGATCTAACACGAGGCCGAAAACCCGACACAAAGCACACCCAAGAAGATCGATCCATCGAACCGAGAGAGAACAACACGCGAAGCGGATGAAAGAGGCTAGGAGCAGCGGCGCGCGCATTGGCCTTACTTTGCTGGTTTTGGCAAACGAGCGAAACTCACTCACTCCAAGCGCCTACCTGGTTGTAATAATTTACAGCCCCCAGAGCTACGCGCGCTGCCCTCGCCATCAATAGAGACCCCTGGCTACAAGAAGGCGCACACACTGAGCACAATCACCACAAAAGACGAACACCCAAGCTAGCAGAGCAAAACGAAAAGCCACGACGCCACACCGACACAAACAGCGTCGACAAGGAGACGAACGAAGAGAGAACAACACACACCAGCACGATGGGAAAACATTGGCAACCAGATAGAACAGAACAGAAAAATAACACAAACACCGAACCAAAACAATGCCCGAAAAAAACTGGGCGCCTTTTGCCCCCGCAGGAGGTTGTCACCTGCTTGCCCCTACGGGATTTTCCTGGCCGGTTTCAATTTTGTCGAACCACAGCCGGTGCGGGTGGTGTCTTTTTTGCGCTTTAGTTGCAAAAATTTCACAACTTTTGGGGAAAAATTTCACACAGATAAGCGAATATACTGAAGCCACACAGAGCACGCGAGCCCATCTAGAGCCTGAGACCAGCAACCGCATGCGCGTCCTCTGCGTCCCTCCTTTGCAATCAGCTGAGAGCAGCCCAAGGAATCTAGCTGCAAGTCTTGCGCGAGGCACTGCCATGCACTCCAGCTGCAGCCAAAAGCCCTCAAGCAAGAGAGCGGAAACAAAAGACATGCGCCACATGCTCAAATAAGCACGAAAAGAGCAAGCGGCGCCAACTCCAGCAGCACACCAAAGGCAAGAGCCGCTGTATACCAACCAAGCGCTACGCACACCACTGGCCTGACCTACCGAACAAGCTAAAGTAAGAGTCCACGACCGTTGCGAGCCAGCTCAGCGGCATGCCTTGTAGTCGCTGCGTGCCGACGGCCGTGCCCTCTGGCTTGCGTCCTTCGAGCAGACCCCCACCCGCTTTTCTCACTCCAGCTGCGCCTCCGACTCGCGTCGAACTGCGCCGAAGTTGTTGCCAAGCATGTGGCCCCGATCTACCACACCACGCGACAACAAAGAAACTACACAGCAGACAAGCCGCGCGCATCCGTGTCACGCTTGGCCGCCTGCGACACACTCACCCCCCAGCATCCGAGCCAAACTCTCGCAAGTAGCCGCCGGGCAAGATGCGCACCATGCCAGGCGCTCACAATTTTCACACGCTAAAAAAGCGGGCGCGCCTCCCTTCGCTTGCCTTACTTGAAAAAAGGAGAGGAGCCTTCCCCGCCGTCTTGTTGTTCTCGGTCTCGTCTACCACATGCGCAGACCAAAGCAGACAAAGCAGGCACGGACCGCGCCTCGGGTCCCACTCTTGGCACACAAATGAACACAACCAGAGGCCCACATATAGACCTGACGCAGCAGACAGACCCGGAACACACTGCGCACGCTACACCACACGCCGGAAACTACTACACGGCGCAACGCGTAAGACCCTGCCGGGCGTGGCTTGGTCAAAATCAGCCCGCGGTGGACCTCGACACGCTTCCCCACATAAGAGCACCCATAAGAGTTGCGGGCGCTTATCTGCCCAGTGCCATAGTTTTCGCTTTTGTTGCAGCTCTCTAGACGCAAAGAACTGGAAAACGACCGCCACCACTCAGGGCTCCAGGGTGTAGTAATCGTTACACGATGGGGCTACTGATGCAAGATTCAGATTCAAGGGGCAAGAAAAGAGTCAAAAAGTGTACAGAAATGAGGGAGGTCGACATAATTGAAAGTCCACAATTGAATTTCCTCACCATGTAATCTATCAGAGCGATCCTTTGGTTTAGTCAAGGCAACTTGTGCCCTTGAAAATTCTTCTCGGAGTAAGTATCATCGTCACCGCCTTCATCGTAATCTTAATACTTGACCTCCTGCGACGTTATTTTCTTTCTTGTTCTATCTTGTGTACAAATAGTTCAAACGTCCTTGTTGTGTACAAATAATGTTGTAATCCTAATCTTTAAACATAACAACAACATATTCATATTATTCAACAATCTCTACTATCATTTTTACAACATACCTCTCACTATCACCTTGTTTTGTTGTTCAAGCCTCTCATCTATTTCACAACATCCATTATTGCTTCTATATCCAGTGGAGCGAGGCGGCCTTTAAGTAGGCACGGTGTAGGCTACTAATTCAACCTCACGGAAGCGGTAGAAGACACATTAACTAACATTCAGAATAACGAACGACTAAGGCAGACCGCATCTCATTCATCTGTTCCTACAAATCATTTCAGATAACGACTACAACAGCGAACTAGCAAAATAAGAGAGAAAAACAAAAATACAACGCCAGTGAGATGGATCTCAAATCCTTTCCTTGGAAGGCGTAACCTAATTTTTTCATACGTTGTGAGTACTGCTTCTTTCTAAGTAGGTCTAGCAAAACTTTTGTGAAATAATCCTGAATCAGGAGAATGAGAAACAAAATATCATTTCTTAATTTCAGGTCTGTCCAGAGAGCGATCATTAATTGATCGACTTCGACAATACATAGAAAATTATAAGTAATTTCGATTATGTCAACAGAAACTGTTTCCATCAAATTGAACCTCTTCCTTGTAACACTTAAGTAAACTTCCTTTAAGAACATTTTCAACGATATGTACGTAGATTGTCCATCTCAGTAAGCTTCAATTTCGTAGACCTTTCAGAAGAAGTACAATAATCACTGATATCAACATCATGTAGAAATACTTACAGTCCTATTTGGAAAAAGTTATTTTCTCCACTTACTTAGATAAGAAAGTGATAATCTCCTCAACCTCGTCTAAGACCTTATGTGTCGCTTCATGCGCTAGTAGCTGTTTCAAGTGACATTTGCGCACTTGACGCGCTCGGGGCCATTGCCTGTTCACTTGATAGTTCCGCAAATGACGCCTTTGGTTTCGCTTTCGCGCCAGGAGGAGATGATTTTGCCGGAGCCGCAGAAGAAGCTGCCGCCGGCTTTGTCGCAGTTGATGTCCCCCGGCTGAGCACGGACAGGAGCCCGGATCGTGCAGCTCCAGCAGGAGCACTTACTTAGAGAATGAACGCATATATATCTATGCTTCAGGGCTCAGGGCGGAAGGCCCCCCCGATCTAACTTTTTGATCCCTTCTGGCTTCTTGCATGTACCCGACAGACCTGGCAAAGGGGGCAAAGGCGGGGCCCCGCTGCCTTGTTGCATGTACCCTACAGACCGAGCAAAGGTGGCAAAGGCAGGGCCCCGCTGCCCTGTTGCATGTACCCGACAGACCTGGCAAAGGTGGCAAGGCTGGCGCCCTCTGGCGTGTTGCGGTACCCGACAGAGCTGGCAGAGGACGCAAGGCGGGACCCACCCCCTTGGCGTGCTGCATGTCCCAAACATACAGACCGCTCAAAGGTGGCCAGGCTCGACCCCTCTGGCGTGGTCCCCCACCGATCCATCCACAGAGGGGGGGGAGCCTCCCCGCCCCGGCCCCTCTTTTCGAGGGGCTGCCGGGCGGGAAGGCCTCAAAGCGCCCACTTCTGGCCCCTTCTGGCTTCTTGCATGTACCCTACGCCTACAGACCGGGCAAAGGTGGCAAAGACAGGGCCCCGCTGCCTTGTTGCATGCACCCGACAGACCTGGCAAAGATGGCAAGGCTGGCGCCCTCTGGCGTGTCGCGGTACCCGACAGAGCTGGCAGAGGAGGCAAGGGGGGACCCACCCCCTTGGCGTGCTGCATGTGGCCAACCATACAGACCGCGCAAAGGTGGCCAGGCTGGACCCCTCTGGCGTGGTCCACCCCAGATCCATCCACAGGGAGGGGGGCCTCCCTCCCTGGTACGTATATAATTACTTTGCCCGCCGGCCAGCATTCCAGACTAGCCTACCAGACGGACAGAGTTCGTGAACTCTGAACGCTCGCCCAAGGTGCTATGCCGATGGAGAGAACCGCTGTCCTCAGTAGGCCGAGTGTGGAGTGAGAGCATGTAAGATCTCAGCAAGAAGTGGGTGGGAGGAAAAAGAAAAACTCGAATGGTTGAATTTGCCAGGATGCAAGTTGCTTGGCGATTGGAGGGTGGCGATTGGATGAGTGCCCGCGTGTAGGATGCGCGACCCTCGCTGCATGGAAGAATGGAAACGATCTCACGAACTCACTCGCTCAAACCTGCTTAAACGAAAGCTTCGCCTTCCTCGAAAGCCATAACTCACAGGCGGCACCGCTTTCGACAGGAGTTGCTTCTTTACCTCTTTCACCTGGTCGTCCAGAGTCCCGAGGAGGCCTTGTAGCTTGTCTGGTTTCATCGAGTTCGAGAGCTTGAAGTCCTTCCACGGCATTGCCTTCACTTTTTCGCGGAGGTTTTTGCAGGCTTTCTGCCGCGATTCGGCGCTCGGCTTTACCACCTTTAAGAGCGCCTCCAACACATTGGCCCAGCCAGTGGGCGCCCCTGCGCCTTCTAATTGTTGGGAGTCCTGAATCTGAGCTCCTGCTGGTATCTGACTCTTCGCCATCAGTACAAATTTCGACAACAGGGCCATCCCTGTGGAACTTCCACAGGGCGAAGGCTCACTGTCATCGTCATGATCGCCACAGACACGCTTGAGGTTTTCCTTTGCGCCCGCCAGGCCCGTCTCGTTAGAGATTGCTCAAATTCAAACTCATCGTGACAAGCGTCTGTTTGCAGAACGGCTTTCCCGTCTACAAGCCTACCAAGATGCTTTTCGTGTTCGTGATGAATTAGGACGAGTCTTAACCTCAAGCTCGCGAAGCTGTCGTAGACGCTGACCAGACGCACCGCCCTCACCTTCGTTGGCTGACGGGTCCAACTTCCCTGCTGAAAGTGAAAATGTCTCCATGTCCATGCTGGCCACTAAGCTTTCGACGCGGAGAAGATTCTCTACTTTGGAAACAAGTCCCTCTATTTCAGAAGTCATATCAGGATCCGTTGTGCATGCGGCCCCGGCTTTCGCCAGAACAATCTCAACACCCCCTGGCTTGGTCATCTCCTGGGTGACCCGGATTAGATCGAGCTTTTCACTACCTGTGCTTAGGTGGATGCCTGGTTGTCCCCTTTGCTCTTAAGTACATGATTTCCACGCCCACCTTGCATACCACCTGACGCAACACATCAGGAGTGAAAATCAACCTATCACTGCCGTATGGTGGCTATACTAGAGGCAGTCCAGGTGTTGGCCGCATGAGATGATTTATCTACATTTTAGAGTTGTCTCGCCACAAATTCTCTTTCTGCTCAATGCTATCTCTATGTCAGTATCCTAGCCAGGAAACCATCTGGGATTGAGATAGCTAGATTTGTGGGAACGGCGGTATATCAAGAGCCATAAAACAGACGCTGCATTTGCTGATTGCAAGACTCAAGCTGCGACTTTGCCATTGTCGCTCGAAGCTTGTCGAGGGCCATTGAAAGTTTAGAGCTCTCGACTTACATGCTTCGCCTTCATCTGGGCAACTAATTACATGCTTTGATCATGACTCATGCTCTGCGTTTTTAGACATCTAACACTAGTTTCTTCCCCTATCAATATCTTGCTCAGCCGTAACTATTTGTCTGAGTTCCTTTATTTGTTCCGCCACTTCATTTCTCGCTCCTCCTATGACGTTCACGAGGTTCTTCAAGAAGCCACATGAGGCTTTCAGTGCCGATAGTCGCCCGCTGTCACCACCTGCAGTCGCCCGACCTTCTCGCTCCTTCTCCTCGTGCGCGCTCCCCACAGCTCCAGTTTCCCACAACTTTTGAATCTCCCCACAGTTAATAATGTTGTCTCCTGGTCCTGCTTTGTTCTTTGACTCTAGACCAGCCAGGATATCGTCAAATTTGGGTAGTTCCACGGTCAGCGTAGTAATGCTTTCTTTTGTTAGAGGCCGTCTATGTAGTATGTGGGCGATCTAAAAGTCAACATCTGGCCGTGTGTTGGCACGTGCTACAGTAGAATACAGTTTGGTCCGCAAAAAACTAGAAAAAAGGTGATAAACATGAATATCATCTATTGCATGTCCTCTGCTAACCCGATCTCAATCACGTTTAAGTAAGCATGCATGCACATCTTCATGATTAAGTAGTAATGGGAGTCTTAAGTCTGCTGCTTTCATTTTTTTCATTGCTGTGTCTGCTGCCTCATGATACTTCTCTGGACCTACTACACCCTCAACTGTTGATACCGCTGAGCTGGCCTCTTTCACTTTTTCGCCTGCCGCCGTGATTGCGTCCTCACGCGGCTGCCGCGGCTTAGAGAACAAGAGGGTTCGGTTAGCTTTGGATGATATTACTAACGGGATTCTAGTATAATTTACTAGAAACGAAGACTCTCTTCTGGATCCCGTCATGGTCACGATCGATACTATCTATGGATCCTGCACATCGCACAGAAGAGTCAAGAATCAATCTTCACACGATCTTCATGGTTCATCAAGGTAGTCCTCACGCGTGTGTCGTATCTGATGTCTCAAACTCATGACATCTCACTCACGTCGATAGAAAGGAGAAAGAAGAGCAAGAGACTCATGGAAGAAAAGAGACCCTAAACCACCCAAAACCAAAGAAGAAGAAATATACCTACTTGCACAACGAAAGAACAGACTTCTTATGAATCTTACTCTATCGAAATTTAAGAAGCCTTAAGCAAGAGACGCAGCAGAAATTGGACACGCTTGTTCTCCAGGTCGTCGCGGCCGTGCTGCTCCACATTCTTTGTGCGACCTTCTTGTTCGCTATTTTGTCCCAATCAAAATTAGATCTTCGTCCCATTAAATCCATCATCTCATAAGACATGCATCTTTCTAAAAAGACGAAAATACTAGACGCTATATATTTTCTCGATGTCCTAGTTCGATAAAAATTATGGCTCTCTTGTTCTTGTTTGTTACTTATGTTGTGACTACTTATGTCTGTTGGTTCCATTTACTATTCCGAGAAGATGCATGACTGTTGCTGCTGATTAACGTAGGGGTTTTTGGGAGTCGTAACCTGATGAAGTCTCTTCTCCAAGGATAGCAAAGGACTTGCTGCCAAGGGTTAAACCAAGGTTCATTCGCAACTGCAGTGACCACTCTTTTGAAACACCAGCGGCAACCTCCTTCGACTGGAGCATGTCGAAAACGCCTTTCTCAGCAGCATCCCACACTGTAAGAAGAGGGCCTGTCTTTTCCAAGACCTCGCAAGATCCTAAGAGTGAGGAAGCTTCAGATTGTTCGCCTGCCTCGGTTTTCACCGGAGCTGCTCCTCTGACCTCACGCACGTCTACTCCGCTTATCGCCCCCGTCTTCGCCAGAGGCGGCACGGCGTGGCAGAACGAGTAGAAGAGTGCAACTGGAGTCGTGCTGTCTGACTGCTTCACTAGCTGCGCCTGTTGCTCAGATTCTGCCTCCACTTGCGTCAAATAAAGTTGGCCCACGTCTACCAAGTTCGTGGAAGCACCCTTTACATACTTCTCGACGTGGTCGGGAAATAATGAAGGGACATCTGCATCTTATATTTAATGGATTCATTTTCATTGTAGTTAAGTTGTAGGTAACTAAGTAAATAAAATTCAAGTGGTACATGATTCACATTACACGAAAAAGGGACAATACAACAGAACGACATCCACAAGACAGTATGCTTCTCCTTTCTCAACCGCTGGTACAGTAAAAGTTCTAGTCTGCATGAATTTCAAACCATAAGTAAACAACCCCACCAATCAAACAAGAGGAGGAGAAGTGACATGAATCCACGTGTTGAGACAGATCCGATTGAAAAAAGAATATTAATATCATCTTTTCTTGTTCATAACTTCATCTTCCCCTTCGCGGCCCTGTCTTGCCTTTTCAGTAGACTCCACGTTTCTTTAGCGACATCCGGTACCAGACTTAGCAAATATGTGAGAAGCAGGAAATTGTAGTTGTGTGAGTTCTCGTTCTGCAATTCCACTAGCAAACGATTCTTGCCGTTAAATAAATTCGATGGACTGGCTGGCGAGAGCTGTATCATGGACTTACCATCATCTCCCCCACTGGCTTCGCCATTACCGGTCTTAGTTAGAGCTACCGCGTTCGCATCCTCCTTGAGAGTGGCCATATCCCTCGGGGTTTCGGTCTTTTCCAAGGACTATAGAAAAATAAGTAGTGATATTAGACATTGTACTATCATAAAGCTTCAGTTCAACTATAGAAAAAGATGAACCAAGGATGATGGAGCTGAGGGGATGCTTGTATCGCGGTAGCCTTAAGTTCTGCGTGGTGTCCACTATGGATTGCGGACGGTTGCTCAGCGTCTTGAGAAGCTCCGTCAGCTGTTGCCCGACACGCAACAGTACTTCCTCGCTAAGGGAAGCTGTCCATGGTTCACTTCCGCCACTACCAATTTGCTCAGACGCAGACTGAGTCCCTTGTGGGTCTGCAGTTTTAGTTCTTGGCCTCCAGGTCATCCAGGTCACCGGCAAAATTAGATTAAGCATAAGGTAGCCCAATGGCTACGGTTTAGGATGGTGTTCTTCATCATCCTCCGCGATGTCGCCCCTGTCCTGTGCCTAGTGCTAATCTGCACAAGCACAGGATAAAAATGAGAAGCCAAAGTATTTGGCTTTTGTGGTTCATATCTGCGAAGAGCCCGCAGGCTTGGCGCCTTGCACCCGACTAAGCTAACTAGATCCGTGCCGACTATCTTACTCATCAGCTAACTCTTTTTAGCCTGCACACGCTTAAGACCTTAAGACTTTGATCTTGTTGCTGTTGTTGATGGTGATGATGATGGTGATGATGATGGTGATGATGATGGTGATGATGATGGTGATGATGATGGTGATGATGATGGTGATGATGATGGTGATGATGATGATGATGATGATGATGGTCTTGATGTTGTTGATCTTCGCGTTGCTGTCATTATGATCATCTTGCTCCTGTTGTTTCCTTGGCCGTGATGTTCGTGGGTCATTACGTTGTTGATTTCAGTACTGGCAGGATGGTCTTTATGCTCATGCTTGAGATGATTCATAATTTGAAGAACGACGCTTTTCCGACGCCACCACTTGGTTTGGGCGCAATTGTCGTTTTCGGCCACCCAGACTTCCAGGCGCCTTTCCGCTTCTCCTATTCTTAGAGGACCTTACTTGTGGTTAGGTTATGGATCCTGGACATCGAACTCTGCCGGGACCCATCTAAAAGAGAAAAAGTTACGATGTGAAAATATATCACTGTATACATCACCAGGCGCATAACTAGCAAGCTCCTCCTTTCCAGCGGCCGTCTTCTCTGGAGGCGCTGGAGGTCCACGGAACAATGTGTTCAGAAATATGAAAGAGTCCCTCTCGAGGTCGTGACGCTTCCATGATGAGTCTCCCTCTACGAGTTGCAGTCCCCTGGCGACAGCGCCCTGGCCATGTAATGCGCGACTCGGAAGCTGTGTCGCGGGTCTTTCGGTGGACTTCGTGTCCGTGGTGACGGGGTTCAAGGGTGAGAAAATCTGCGAGAGAAAACCTAGGGAATTAGACACGTCGAAAAAACAATAAAGGGTAAATTTTACTGGTCTACAATGTGTTTCTCCTGCAACATGTTGTTTCAGACAGACTGAGACTTCGACGAATTCCTTGATTGGTTGAATGAATGAATAGGCTTGGGCTTCGCAACCATCTCTAGTGTAGCTCGAATCCAGAAAACAACAAGAAGATGAATCGTAACGAAGCTCGCTGGTTCCCAATCACGCAGAGAGAGCAATTGCTTGTAGTATTCTGTGTCTGTTTCTTTCTCCTTATCCTTATTCAGCTTATTTTTCATTCGAAATCGAATGGATACGTCCCTCTCTCGCCAACTAGCAAGGGCCTTTTTCAGGCCATCGCGTTCAGGATCTTCTTGTGCTTTGCTCACGAAGAGCTTGCCAACAACATGCTTCTGCACGTTCCAATTCTCGGAATCCTCTGTTTGCTTTTTTGGATCTGGAGCGAACACACCACACGCATCTATCCATCTTGTAGGGGTCCACGATTGGATATCCGCTGGCACACAGAAGCTGTTCGAGAAATCTCCAGAAACTTCGCCAGGCCGACCCAAATTTAGAGCTCGCGATAATTCTCAAAATAAATCGTAAGTTCATATTACCATAATGTCAGAAAATAAATGTAAATGAATTATATTTAGAGGACATAGTTATTTTTTATTGTTGCATTCACATCATACGTAGAGACAGAGACAGACTGAACAAGACCCCGTGAGAAATTAACGAGTTATATATAAACATCTATTGATATTAGCCTTATCAACTCTCCCACAGTCTTCAGGATACTGCTGAGCTGCTTGAAGACACCCGCTTCTCGATTCTTGTCCCCATCCGAAGGTGATAAAAACACGCAGACTTCTTGCAAGAACGAAATCGACGCCATTCGCAGTAAGCCAACCACAACGGCGGGAGCTCCTGGCGCATCTTCTGCAGAGCCACCTTGTAGTGCCTGCATGAGAACCGGGTTTTCCTTAGAGCTAGAAGACTAGAAATGCATCATGTGGAGTGAGTATCCTAGACAAGAAATACATCTTGTGGAGTAATTATCCTGGTGGATGTGGTTTCCCATTAGAAAACCCTGGCGACCATTTCCCCTTAGACGAAAACGGGTCACCGAAAATACTGGTTATTAAGATGGATAATCTCTTCTAGCCTTAACCTTCGTCATGAGACCATCTTGTCGGCCACTCGTCGTCGACAGGTCTACGCAAAAGTCATACCGTACAGGCAAGACCTCCAAGTCATCCGTTGATTTGAGTTTCTTCTCTAACTCTATGATTAACCAAGCAGGATCGGTGGTAGCAGCTGCATCTCCTGTCGTGGTGCCACCAGTTTCTTTTGGCTTGATGAGTTCACCACGCAATTCCATGATGACATTCGCTACCTGCTTTCCTGCATCATCTTCCGGTCCTCCTTGTCCCGCTTCAGTAGATGTAGGCGTTGTATCCTGGTAGATGAATTTCACTTGCCCAACAAGTAAGTCTAAAGCCATGGCATGTGTCTCCATATAATCTAGAGTCTTTTTGTCAGCACTTCTCCGAGTTAACACGGAGACCACGGTCCACAGAAAGCGATAGGTCTCTTTGCTAAGTTTCACAAGGCCAGGTTCTGGTTGACCTTGACGCAAATTGCTCCTGTCTAGCAAAATGGAAGGCAAGAAGGATTTGTGAGGACAGTCAGCAACGCCAGATTTTTCCGAATAACAGAGCCAAGAGCGAACGCTCTTTAACAACTCTCCGTCGCTCGGAACAATCTTCATGGCACCTGTTCGCCTCTGCAGGCCTTGGCCTCCAGCGCCCGACCCACCACTGAAAGAAGCAGGCTCAGTTTTAGTGAAAGGCGGCCCACTAACACCATCTCGGTTCGCCATCTTACCGAGGCCACCTGCTCTCTGTTCCACACCCGTATCATCAGATGCTCTTTTCCCCAGCAAACGGTTTATGACGACATCTCCGAGAACGCCAATAGCGTGTTCTGCGGTCAAAAGAAGATTATCCACCTCTCCAGTCGTAGAATGCGGCGCAGCAGAGTTGGGACTGCCGGGATAAAGTTCTGCGTATGCAAGACCTTCCGCAACATGAAGAAAGACTCAGATGACGAGAGACGTTTCAACCTATGCAACATATTTATTCCTGGATCATGATAGCATCCAGAAGAAAAATATGTTCTCCACATCACTTCCACTAATGATCATCACCGTGTAATATCAACACACTCATAAGCCAGATGCAAAAGCGCGCAGGAGATGCAGTCTTCACCCTGATGTTTGTCGAAAATCTCATCGAAGACGTCGCACTGTTCGCCTTCGGCCGGTTCTTCTCGAACGAAGCTCGTGTCGATCAATGCTCCCCACTTCTCTTGGGTAACCGTATCACGCAATATCTGCTGAAGTGGCAAAAGAAGTGAAAGATCCTCTCTAGGAGTGCTCTCTGCTCCCACCAGCGCCAAGCCAGAGCCAGAAGACGGCGCGGAAAGCATCCAAACTCCTCTCTCCATTACATCCCCGTCGAAGATGCTACCCAGTTTCTTTACGAAAGGGGGGTCCCCGCTTTCGAATTAGAGCCCGTCTACGACAGGGGAGTCCCTGCTTTCGAATTTTTCGAAGTACGAAGGGGAGTCAATGTTTCCTCTATCGTTCAATTCGGTCCCCCCATCCCGAGCCCCTTTCCCACATGCATTCTTCTACTGAGAGAGTGAGATGGACAAAAGCTGGCCATAACCGAGAACCCAATTCGTTGGAGAGCAAATTTCCAGTCTTTGTCGCCCTAGACCAAAGGTTGTAAGAAAGCGAGACTTCTGATACGAGTGCATCTTTGACTTTGTGTTCTCATTCTCCTTGAAGATTAGATGCTAATATGTTAAAAACCGATATCTTCTATCGTATCTGCGTAGATTGTCGCTATTACGACTATTACGATCATGATGAAGAGGTGGATTAAGACAAAGTAGAGTCAGAGATCAAATAAGAACATCGCAAAAGACAGTGGCAAAGAGAAACTGCGGAAAAAAGTGAAGGATGCAATTCATTAACCCTTAACTATTACGATTGCAATAATTAAAGAGGATTATTAAGAATATCAATTTCATCAAAGTGTGACCACGTCTCGCGAGGGCGTGTATCGCAAATCCTAGTGCTATGAAGAAGAAGATGGATTTCAGTTTTGTGAGCCATAAGAAAAATTCGAAAATCTTTGCTGCATCTTCATTTTTCATTTTCTTTTCAGCCACGGTTTCTTCCGCTCTAGCAATGGTGGCAACGAGTTCTCCCAGCTATGAAAGCATAAGCATAATGAACTACTAAAATAATTTTTCCATTGTCCTCTGCCATTTGGTGCTCTAAGGCTACAACCTTGAGTCCAATTCTTGACTCTTGATTCTCTCAAGAATTACACGTAAGGCCATCATTAGCAAAAACTACAAGACCCGACGAGTAATTTGTTAGTACTTGAAATAGAATACTCAAGGAGTTGCCGCTCCAGCCGTGGCCGCTGAGCGAAGGATTATTGTATATCTTCCACTTCCGTTGCATCGTCATCGTCAGTGCGTCTAGAAAAGTTTTTCTCTATCTCTGAGAATCAACTATCTTCAAGTATGTGTCTCATGTATTAAAAAACCAATTACAAGATGCATAAGCAGAGGGCCCTCTTTTGCCGACTAGTTGTTGCATCGTCCCGTCCCGAAGCATCCTGGCTCGAACTGGAAGTATCTTCTTTAGTAATATCTCTGCAATGAACGAATAACACTCGCCAAAGTCCGCACATTCCCGGGTTCCAGAGCATGGGCTGCTCAGCGTGAAAATGAAAGTTGTAAAATCTTCAAAAAGCAACACTGCTGGAACACCCGAACACGTCCAAGCGCACTACGAGGCTCTTGAGAGCAAATGGAATGACTATCGTTGCGATGTAACAGAAAGACGATCAGAAGGGACGCGCCGAATGATCCCTGACTGTTTAAGGCCCTGAAATGGTATCAAAATGGGTTCAATGTCTTTGGGATATCATGAAGGGCCAGAGTGCAGTTAAAGATCTGGGAGATCCGATCTTGCTGCTCATTCATGTTGGAACTCATTGAGTTCAAACGATGACCACGCGAGGAACTAACACGAGTTCAAGACAAGAAACGGCAGTGATCATGATCAAGGTGACGAGTGATAGCAGTCCTTTGGCATTGAAATCAGGCTCATTCGTTGGATCTTGGGCCAGTAATGACCACTGACCAACGCCCCTCCTCAGTCGCTAGGTGAAGAAATGACGAAAGTCACGAACGGTCTGGCGTTGCCTGCTCTGACCCTGAACCATCACGATTTGCTCTATAGCCTCTGTCACCGTTGACCAACGACCTAACACCCAACACCCTAAGAAGATAGAATAGGTAAGCGCCGCCAAAGAAGCAGAACTTGAACTAAGATCGTCATCTTCTTCTTCCGAGTCACTAGCATCTTCAACATGGTTAGGGCTAATTACTGGATTTCCTACATGATGTAGTAATAATCTGCGTTGGGTGGATGAAAAACGTAGTCGATCCACCACTACAGTCAAGAAGGCAGGCATAAGGGCCCTGAAACAGTGACACCAAAGCGAACCAAACAAGACCAAAGGTCGCACCCCGTCCACCCGGAGGGAGTCAGATGCTTACTATGGCCTAGGGCTTCTCAGAACTTGCGCTGGGTGGATGAGGATGAAAGTCTCGCTAGTCCATCAGCTTTCATTAGGTGAGTAAGACGGCAAGCGACTTTCTCAGCTGCATTTCTAACCCTTAAAAAACGTAGCGCGTAGTGTCTACTTTTGGGCTTCATATCTTCACACTTTGCCGTCGAGATTGCAGACGGGTTGTCGATCCACAGCGTGGCATCGTCGAGGGATGGCGATATACCAAACCGCGTTCCCACTAGTTGAGTGGGTAAGGGATTGAAGAAATCTATAAAATCACGCAGCTCGCTCATGACAATAGTGCCCGACGCGGCTATATACTCTGACTCTGCAGCTAAATACGCACGCACGGTTTGGGTATTGCGTTTCCAACAGATAGGAAAACCCCGATAGTACATAATCGAACCACTGGCCGAGCGCGTGCTCTTTCTGCAGTTTGCGAGTCCTGCATCTGAGAGCCAATTACTATACGGTAGCTCTCTTCCTTCTGGTGCGAGCTTCTTGCAAATTTCGTCGAATTCCTCCCCACTTTCTGGAGAGTAGTGGAGTCCTTGGCCCTTTGTCGTAGCTAGATACTTTAATACCTTTCTACAGGCTTTTGCAATTCTTTCAGTAGCGGGCTTACTGACATACCGAGCCAATGTCGCCACAGGGACGCACACATCTGGCCTTGCGGTTGTCGATATCCAAAGCAATGCGCCAACAATCTCACGCAATGGAAACCCGGCTGCGAGCTTAAGCCCCTCCCCAAGCAAAGCAGACTCGTCGAAATTTGGAGACCACACCGGCCTACCTGCAGTCATTTTATACTTCTGCAAAGTCTTCTCTATGTACACACTCGCCAGGGTTTTCACTGAACGCGCTTCCCGACAATAGTGCACAATCGCACCAAGAAAGTCGAACCCTAGCCATTCGAAACCCGTGTGGGAATCGACTCGCTTTGCCATCTCAATAAGTCGGCCGGGGGCGCGACTAAAGACCCAGCCGAGCTCGGACCGTAACTCTTGATAGTCAGGTCCAGTAGCAAGCTAAGTTATCATCGCCATAGACTGACATCTTTATACACTTTCCTGGGTGCGTTTTGCTCTTTTTCCTCCACAATCCTGGAGCAGAAGGACACGGCTCCCATCCGAGTTCGGACAATAGCACGCAATACTTCTTGAACCAAGCTCGTCGGGCGTCCTTGAGCCCATACAGAGCCTTCTTAAGCTTGACGATATCCGCTCCATGCTTCTCCGCCCACACTGGTGGAAGACGGCAGAAGGCGCCGCGATCGAGTTCAGCACTAAGGAACGCAGAATCAAGGTCAAACGGAGTGACGAAGTCGCAATCCGTCGCCGCTGAGACTGGTAAAAGTCCACTCGCAGCGTGTGACACTACAGGGGCGTAGGTGTCGATATTCCCCGAACGATCAAGATTCCCGAGCACACAAGCGCGAGCTTTGAATGTTCCATAACGTTTTACCGTGAGAGCGACTGCTATACCTATAGGCATTACCTGAGAAGAGCTTCGCAGCTCCTCGTCAGTAGCTGGCGCCCAAGTCTCAAAGGCAAGCAATCTAGCTTCCTCCTTGGTGATAGCCGCTCGCCATTTTTCAGCGTCAAGGCTTTCCAAGGCTTGGGAAACTGACAACATGGCACGCGCTTCGAGAAAGGTCCCCCCTTCTTCCAGCTCATGCCCGCCTGCTAGCATGGCAAAATTAGTCATGTCTTTTCTTAATGCTTCTAGCTCGGCTCTTGTTCTTCTCTTGCGTTGTCCTGGATTCTTATCCTTGCTCCCTTTGGGTCTGCCTCGGCCTTTCTTCCCCTGCTCAACTTTGCCTGGCTGAGATGGTGGAATGGGTAAGGGCCTCGGATCCCTTGCTTCAAGATTAGAGTCAGGCGACACACGCTCCGATGAGCTATTCCCCTCCTCAACGCGTTGCGCGTCAGAGTTGGAATCATCGCCGGTCTTTGGATCTTCTTCTTTGTCCAAAGATTCACAGAAAAACTCTCCAACTTCGTTTTTATCTGATATCGTCTCCATTCCGGTTGGATCGCCCGAGCCGTACTCCGTGCCAGAGAAGCGCGGCCGACAAGCCATACGCTGCAGCGCATGTCTGTGCAAGACGGGACCCAGCGACGGCGTGCCAGACTGCAGGCTTTCCAGCGGGTCATAATCAACATAAACGCCCTTCGACGTAGGCTATGGCCAATCAATGTTCTTGACTAGTATCGACTCTCGAGATTTCACGTCTAGGGTGGAATACTCACTCCACTTGAAGCCAGATCTCGCTCCCCCATCGTTGTGATATGTACCTACTAGCCAACCAGACGAAACTGGGCACAGACCGAGAAACACACCACGCCGATAAGGTGACGCACGCTTTGCTTCTTGCTTGTTGGTGGTGTCTACGACCTGCTCACGAAAGTACACCAAGCAGCCAAATCGTCTTAACATACCTAGGCCACTCTTCGAGAACTTCTCTCCTATCCTCTTTTCTAGTATCTCGACAGGACTCCTTCCGTCATATTCTGGCACTTTTGCATAACGATGCGGTAAGCGATTCCAACAATCTCCGGCATACTGGAAGCAGTAACACCAAAGACGTCGGTCGACTTTGACCAACGTGGTACGTACAGCGCCGAAAATGGTCCGCGTGAAACGTTCGCAAGTTCCGTTCATTTCTGGGCTGTAAAGAACTCCAGGAATTTCCGAAACCAGTAGCGACTGCATGACTTTGGTCGTATGGTCACTACTCAGGACGGGTTCGCTATCTCTACAGATGAACCATGCCGCCTTGTCGTCGAGTGGCAGTGAGTAGTCCTGGCGAATGCCTTTTATTACTTCCTCAATCACCTCAACGCAGTCCGACTTAAGGCAGAGAGGACGAACGAGACGCATTTTAATCGAATCACAGATAACGACTAATGCGCGCCCTTTGCTTCTTATCGATACTGGTCTAATACCAACTGCGAAATCAATTGCAAGCGTTTTCGATGGAGAAGGTAGATGCCCAGCGGGCCCCACTTTTGCATGAGCGCGTCTTTGGCCTTTGGTCCGATCACATTCTGGACCAGATACACTAAGGCCATCGACGTGAAAGTGACCAAGTCTACGATGTCTGTCTAGTCTTGAGGTTTGTGAGTGAAGTCTAGCCGCTTCTATACTAGTGCATACTATATCCTCCTCAGTTTCGTTTTCTTCTTTGCCAAACATGTCACGCACAACCTAGAGTAGGTAACTGCATCCGGGGGCAATTTGTTATGGGTAGAGAGCGGCCGGAGCGGGTATCGTATAACGTTCCGCCACTTTCTGTGAAATTCATTCGCCAACCCTTGTTCTCGTGATAGTTTCCTTCAGTTCACCTAGCCACGGTATAACGCGACCTATGGCTTTTGGTAAGTGTTCAAAGTGTGCGCCATATTTTAGTCCTCACTTATTTTCTTTTAGTCTACCTAAGTTCCCGCTTCGCTTTCAAGCAGTGCCGCTAATGTGACAAAGCCCGTAGCTAATCTTCTTGAAATCGGGACGATGGCTAGGCAAGTACTTGCTTACACAACTGTCAACAAGTGGAACTGTTTTGCTATCGTCTCGCTTATTTGCACTAAGATAGCAACCTGAGTGACTATCAGTCAAATAGCTCCCACCCCTAAACAGTTCACCTCTATACTCTTTATCCTCAGAGTTTTCTCCAAAGTTCAGCGAACGTCTTCCATTCTCATCTTCGAAACCTTCCTCAGATTCTTCTTCGTCTTGGGCTTGTCCATCTCGTTGCCCATATCCATTCCATTCCTGATTGATTTCGACTCTGCGCTGTGGTTGTTGTCCACCCCATTGCTGCGGGTTAGTTACTGTTGTCGAATCCTTTTCCTCCACTTTGTTGCGGTGGATAGCTGTTCTGGTGACACGGAGGGATAGCATTACCTTGCGGCCAACAGTTGTAGGAATTGTTGAAGAAGTTGCCGCCCATGGCTTTATTAGGTTGGTAGCTTTGACTCATCGGGTTTAGCCAGCATTTATGCGCCTTATGTCCATACTTGTGACAATAGTGGCACCGGATACCCTCATTAGGATTTGAGTTCTTAGCGCCTTTACCTTTGCCGCTTCCTTTGTTCTTCTTACTGCTAGAACTACTACTACTCTTTCCACTTCCTTTCGCTGCGTAGGCATCATTCTTGACTTCTTTGCGAATTTTCTTGCGAAGTCGTTTGGCCGTTGTCTTCTTGAGAGCGGCAAACGCGTTACCATCGTCATCACTCTCATCTTGACGCTTACGCGGCTTCTTGGTTTTGGTATTGGTCTGGTTTTCATCATCGGAATCTTCGACAGCCGGAGAGGCTTTGCCGAAAGATGGACTCTCGATCTTGTACTCACCAGAGTCAGTCAAACTTTGCAGTCGTTTCGTGAGTCGTTCACCGATTTGAACGAACGTTAAACGTTCTGCTTCTTGCATCCTCTCGATTGTCTGTCGAAATGCTTTAGAAAACATTTTAGGCAGAATGTCGAGGATGGCTCCGCTTTGTTGATCAGCAACAGCCACACCAACTGCCGGCGGGTAGACGGTCGGAGATTGGTTCGTGACATCTCAAACCTTCGCCAAGAATGTTGGAACGTCTGGAGGAGAATCATATCACGGCTCGTGAAGAGAAGTGCATCCCTTCCAACGCTTTAGCGGAGATTCGCTGCTCTGTGCAGTCATTTTGACTGAAACCAGCGGCACGGAGATTAGTCACCACTTCGCCAGCGTCCATTGCAGTGGTATCCTGATCCTTCGTATGTGCTTCGGCTGCACCTTTGAGCGACTTGATGATGGTGACCACGCTCCTCAAATCTCGCCAATTCTGCTGGAGCTTGCGGCCGTTGTTGTTGGGTTGGTTCGGAACCCCTGCCGCATTGCCGCTAAGCACGTTGCTGAGGTATTGGACTAGGTCCAGGCGGTCTGCTTCTTGCGTTACCGCTCGAAGCCAGTCACACCAATCAGATTTCTGCCCCAGTTTGGGTGAAATCTCTCCAAGACTCATATCCGGCATTAATTTTGTGGCGCAAATAGTGCGGCCCTGTTTTCTCTACTTCTACAATGAATTGACTAGCAATTTTTTTTAGTAGGGTAAGGTAGGGCCCAAGGGCTTGAATCAGTGTCGGAATACCCGAACACGTCCACGCGCACTATGAGGCTCTTGAGAGCAAATGGAATGACTACCGTTGCGATGTAACAGAAAGACGACCAGCACGGACGTGCCGAATGATCACTGACTGTCTAAGGCCCTGAAATGGTATCAAAATGGGTCCAATGTCTTTGGGATGTCATGAGGGGCCATAGTGCAGCTAAAGACCTGGGAGGTCTTGCTGCTCATTCATGTCGGAACTCATTGAGCTCCAACGATGATCACGCGAGGAACTAACACGAGTTCAAGACAAGGAACAGCATTGATCACGATCAAGGTGGCGAGTGATAGCAGTCATTTGGCATTGAAATCAGGTTCATTCATTGGATCTTGAGCCAGTAATGACCATTGACCAACAAACAATCAAGAAAAAGTGGACGACTTCAAGTCTTCTAGGTAATACGTCAGCTGTTGACTCTCCAAGCGTGGTTGCGTCCATTATACTAAACTTAACTCTATCCTTATGTTCTTGATCATAATCGTCCGACTCCGAGGCTTGACTTACTTCTAGAATTCGAACTCCGCTACATGCTTAGCATTTTCCTTGGGGATATAACTGTAAAAGGTTTAACGATGACAAACACAGCTGACTAAGAACTCAAATTCTGAAGCTTCATAACTTGACGACGCTTGCGGGTCATGGTCTGGCAAACTGTCTGGCAAACTCTTCCGGAGGCTTGCAAGTGCGTCCTCATAACTGGCTTTTTTAGAGTCGTAGTGGTAGTAGATGTAAGGCTAGAGGATGCAGTAATCAAATGACCTGTCTGATGTGTTTGAGCATCAAGGGGATCTATTCGCTAGAAAACACGAAGCGAGCACAGAAAACTGTTGGTGAGATATTAACGCGCACTAGACTCACCTTAGCCGCCTCTTGCTATTGATTCTTGATTCAGAGAATCACACTTGATGGCTAAAAGCAACTTCTTATGTAGAGACAATGCTGAGCATTTCCCTAATCGATCCGTTTCTTTTCTGGCTGCCTGTCTTCGTCATCGTGCCGGTAAGTAGTCTGTCCCACTGCCAGAGCTCTCGCGAGACGGCGCATAGTCCGTACACCAGAACGTTGCCAGGTGTATTTTTAGCAGTAAAGTGTTGTTTTCGAAGATGCCGATAAAAATAGTATCCTATAATCATCATTGGGATTATTTTCGATGCCGAATGAGTTACACAGACATGATAGGATGACGACCCATACTGATATAGGATACAACTGAGGATATTAATCTATCATGCTTACTACGCTCGATCATTAAATAATGCGTGGCAATCTAGAGAAAGAGGATGCTTACTACGTTTATAGATTCGGCAGAATCTACTACTTCGTGGCCGGGTCCTCCACTGGCCATCAAAGGAATAGCCATTTACCTCGATTCCTGGGGATAGTCGTAGGCGCAAGCGGTATGCATGCGTGCGTGCATATCATGCCCGTGTTGCCGACTTTCCTGATGACCGGAGAGACGAGATCTGAGACTACTACAGTAAATCTATTAATTGTTCTTAACTTGATTATTTTTTTCTTCGCTTGTCATCCCTTCGTTGCTCCCAAGCCAGCCCGGCAGTACTCTTAACATGAGATCGAAGGGGCCAAATTCCCTGTCTTCGTTGTTCGTTGGCAGCTCTCTCACCAGTTCTGCCCCATCAAAATCTTAGAGCGTCATAATTAACGGTCATGAGTAGATAGAGACCCTCTTCACCTCCTTTTAGATATGCTAAGGCGACAGAAACGATCCGGCGGAAGTGTATACTCTGCGGGGCAGTATAGGTCGTCGTGTAGCTATGAAGTGGGTTTGCTTCTTGTCCTACCCGTTTACTCACTCTAAAAAAATGTTTTCACTCACTGAGAGTCTCAATATGAGAATGTGAGGCATCATACCCACTTCCTTGTCCCTTGTCCCACTACCTTCTTCATCATTGTTCATCTAATTGTATTGACTTATTTCACGAAGTACAGATGTTTCTAGCCTTAAATATTACCACTTCTAACGGTTCTGAGCACCTCTTCCAAGGCCTTCAGCATATTGTTCTCAACCTGCTTGTTGCTGATGCTGTCGCCATATCATGACAGGAAAATCACTATACTCATATTTGTTTCTCAACAGAGCCAAGAGTGAAGAGCTAGAAGTATCTGAGAAAGTAGTTCTACACGAACGTATTCATTCTATTCCAGATCATTTCTCTACGTTGGAGGAACTCTTCACGATTATCATACGACGACTCTGTTGGGCCTATCCTCGTATAAAAATCGTTGGTCTTACCCACATAACAGAGTCAGACTCATAAGAAAAGCAAAATAAGAAGACCGCCTAGAAGTGCAAGTGGAATCCCTTGAGAATCAATGTTTTTGAGTACTTACTGATTTTCTTGTCATATATCATCTCCGTTGCCCAGTTGCTTGATTCTTTCTTTGCGCGAGCTGCACCAGGCTCTCATATCCTCTCCTCCGGCAGAGACGCCCCTCTCCAATAAAGTGCGATACGTAGTCACAATCTTCGGAATAACGTTTGTAATTAGCGGAGGATATCTGAGCTAGAAGCTCACGCTCTGATTATGGTGGACTGCCACGCTGGGGTGAAAATCATGACTCGAGGTAGGAGTTGAAGTAAAACCACTACAAGGAGGACATTGTGCTAGAAATCTGACCTAGAAGCTCACGCTCTGATTATAGTTTCAAACATTATACTTATCAGATATAGATCCTCAGTCTTCAAAAAAGTATTCAGTTGTATCATCCACCGCATGATAAGCTACGAGTTGTCAATGCTTTGAGAGCAGCGATACTACTAGTACAACCTTCACAGGATAGATACACGATAAATACCTAGTAGAACTAAGACTACCTAGAAGGAAATTATAGTTCACATCTCTTCTCATAATGTCGCTGCAACCAAGCTGTGGCGGGGTAGAATATTGCGCGCTGCGCGCAGCCGAAATCGGTACATGTGTGCAAAAATCTCCGCCATTTTCTTGAAGTTCGCCGGTTCAGGCAACAACCATATTCGAGCGGAATTTGTGTCGCTAGCGCTAGTCATATCGCCCAAAGATATTAGAATGGTGCTAGGCTAAACGTGTTAGGTTAAGAGGTTGATGGATGATGGCTTTGTATTCGCTTGCCTTTGCTTTTTTACAAGTTCAAGTTATTTACATATCATGCCCCGCCCTGGCGTTTATCAACTACACGACAAATTCCAATGATTCGTTAGATCGCAGTGCCTTCGTGAGCAACAATTGATTCACGACAGCTCTTCTCTCCCACATCTACACCATCAACAGACGTAGAAAATATCTTCCAATTATAGCCCCCATAACTTGCTCTCCAAGGCGTCCACTTCTTGCGAAGGAGGTATTAGCGGTGCTTCCGAAGAAGCCTTCTCGCTATCGGATCTTTCCCTCCCGCTGCCGGGGCCTTCGCGAGCGGCAGCGGCAGCAGCAGCAGTAGTAGTCTTTGGACCCGCGCCACTTGGAACAGCGCGTTTGTGGATCTCATCTATGAAGCCCGCCAACTGCTTGAAAACACCTGCAAGATAGTGGAGAGAAAGCAAAATGAATTTGAATGACCGTGGTATCAACTTGAACGATCATGATAGACAAATACAATGTCCAAGTGGTGGGTGCAAGAATCAAAAAAATTTTCATGCTCGTGAAAAAAAAATAGAAAAGGGGGATGGTCGTCAAGAAACGATCGATGTCTCCAGATTTGGAATGTAAAGAAGGGCTACCTTATGTCAGATATCAGTATCCCCATGACCTCCAAATACTAGCATTAAATCTTCACATCGATAGGACAAGTGAGTACTTATCATCTTTTGATAGGAAAAAAGTACTTTCTTCTCCATTTTTATAATCGTCGCTGCATCTTATGTCTTCGGCCACCAACAGATAATTCTCGAAGTCTGTTGCTACTGGGGACAGCTTTAGCGCATCTTTGTCTACCTGAAGTAGAAGTAAAAATAGGAAGGTTGACCTTGACGACTTTATCTATCAGTCTTTTTTGCCTGCTTGAAATTCAACTACTGCTCAAATAAAAAAGTTTCTACATGATAGTATTCCTATGTTTTTGCTTACATTCGTATACTATCCTAAAAAGTCACCACGCCAATTCCGGCTTCTTCATCATTACAATCAACGAATGTTCTTGTATCAGTACCACCTGCCGATGTCTCTTCGTTATTACCGTAATCAACGTACTTATGTTGTATCAGTACCTGCTGATCAGCTGGTTGCTTCATAGTGGTTTCCTCCTTATACCAAGCGCAGGCGCGCTCATAGGATACTTGTAGCGCTTCCTTCACTACTTGCTTTGGGGTAGTGGACTCTGGCGTCCGTCTGTCTGGATCAATCTGGGGTTTTTCTGTCCTACTGAAAGCTGCTTCGTCAACAGCTGCGCCTCCTCCTCCTAAAGACTGCTGCTCCCCGCCACCTAAACCTGCTTGCCCAGCTCCAAAAAAAGTATTACGCCCTACCCCTGGTGCAGCACTGTTTTGTTTAGCTGCGCTCCAAAATTTCGCCACGAGCGATTTGCCTGGGGAAAAAGCCTCCGGAGAGAGTAGCTCCAATTTCGCAAGGTGCTTGTGCTTCTCGTTCGACTGTTCCAGTTTCCTCAAAATCTTACCAAAAATACCATTACTTGTGGTCGCTCCATGTTCTTGCACTAGTTCTTGCAATCCCAGCAAGGCTTAGTGCTACCACATCACTCAATTGCATCCACCCTTTCTACGTAGTGAAGATGATGATGAAACATGATATTTCGTGTGCTGATGATGAAATTCAAATTGAATATGACACAAGCTAGTGATGATCGATCTTGAGGATGCAACTGCGAGCTTAAAGGGCTTGCGTGTGTGTGGCTAGCAACTCGAGTGTGTGGCGCTTGTCGTTATACCAGTCTATTTCGTCTAAGCTCCAAGTAAATCCATCCGCCAGAAATGCTACGACAGGCTCGATGTAAGTGTCAACCTACGTTAGAAGATCTGGGAATAACCCTAGCGGAATCAAAAATAATGAGGGTAGAAGTAGTAGTTTTTGGTCTACCTATTAGTGCTGATCTGGATGCTTGTTTTCATGTTCATCAACATATCAGGAAAATCAAAACTATAAGAGTCACTAGCTCCGTCCTTCGGTGAACGTTCTACTTGTTATATTTCAATTCGGTCAAAACGCGTAGAAACATGTGGTCGTGGTCACATGAGTCTAGAAGTAGAAACAGACAGTTCACAGTTGTATCCGACATGAACATGGTAATAAGAGAATGTAAAAGTAAAGTTATCAATTGTAGCCTTCATAACAGTCTTTCAGCTTTTCCTTGTTGTGATGTAGATGAGGCCGCCGAATCACCAACCGGTGGCGCAGGACCAGGAGGCGACGACTCAGAAACCGGAGACTCAGAATTCGCTGACGCAGCCGCTGACACAGAAGTCGCTGACGCAGAATTCGCTAACGCAGGAGAATCCGCAAACCTCATCATCTTACCTAATCGCTCGAAGATCTTGCTCATGGCCTCGCGAATTCCCTTCAGCCGAGACGCTGACACGAAAGGACTTCTGTTCTCCTCTTGGCCACCAGTTCCAGCAGTAGTTAAGTCGACCACCAAGTGACCCTTCCCAGGGACCACTCCATTGGATGGGCACGAGTGGCCTGCGTTTTCTCGGGTGCTTTCAGTAGAACCGTCGGCTTTTCTTCGTTCAAAGCAGAACAATTGCTGCTTTCTAATGGCATCAAACGTTTAGAGGTTTCGACTATCGACATCTTCAGTCAAGCCACCATCCAGCAAGAAGCTTCTTTTGTGTAGTACTTCAATCCGGCGTAGGAAGAAAAATCTAAATCTTCCGTTTGAATATTCTATAATAGGACTCACTGCTCGTTGAGACCTTAGAAAGACTTACTAGGAATGAGAACAAGCATTTAATAGTCTATAAGTAGTCAGTGTTGATGAGAACTAGTGATGGCACAGTCGAGGCCAAATTTTGCCTTAAAAAACTGGCTTTACAAGCTTCTCTGCGTAGTCGCGGGAGCCTCCACTGGTTATATTCGAGATAGTTTTTTGGGTGTTTACTCTTCAAGAGACCTTCAAGACTTGCCTCCCACGAACTAATTTTTGCTTCTTAATCGTTAATCCAATCTTAATCGTCGGTCGGACGACCTGTGTGTGTAGTTGTCCCCGTCGATCTCAATCATCAAAGAGGGTGGAGCAACATGTATTGTAACATCAAAAAATCGATCTCCTCCGCACGAAGCTTATCAACAGCTACATCACGGGGAGCTATAGCCTTAACCTCGGACACTTGCGCCGGATCCGCATCCGCCGAAGCCTCGCATCTATCGAGGAGTATACGAAGCACGCCTTCAAGAAAGCCGTCCGCCCAGAGACTGAGGCCAGACGCTCTTTTTTAGCTTTAGAGCTCATCAGAAGACAATCCGTCTAGGCAATTCAATCACTGTTTCTGTTGGTCAGTGGTCGTTACTGGCTCAAGATCCTCTGAATGGGCCTGAGTTCAATTCCAGACGACTGCCCTCACTCGTCACCTTGATCATGATCAATGCCGTTCCTTGTCTTGAAATCTTGTTAGTTCCTCGCGTGGTCATCAGTTGAACCCAATGAAAACCAACATGAATAAGCAGTAAGATCTCCCAAGTCTTTAACTGCACTATAGCCCTTCATGGTATCCCAATGACACTGAGCCCATTTTGATACCATTTCAGGGCCTTAGACGGTCGGCGATCATTCGGCGCGTCCGTTCTGATCGTCTTTCTGTTACATTGCAACGATAGCGATCCCATTTGCTCTCAAGAGCTTCATAGCGAAGCGTGCTCAGACGTGTTCGGGTGTTCCAACACTGTCGCAAGCCCTTGGGCCTTGTCTTTGTTTGACTAGTCTACAAAAATTCATAGTCGCTCCGTCTGTCATCTTAGTGCAAACAAAAGAGACAATAGCAAGACAGTCTCACTTGTTGACAGTTGTGCAAGTAAGTAGCTGTCTAGCCATCGCTCCGACTTCCAGAATATTAGCTACCAACTTTGTCACATAAGTGGCACCGCTGGACAGCGAAGCGGGAACTTGGGCAGACTGAAAGAAAATAAGTTAAGACTAAAATATGGCGCACACTTTGAACATCTACCAAAAGCCATAGACGAGATCGCATTACGCCATGGCTAAGAGCAAGAAACTGCCATGAGAAGGGTTGGCAAGTGAACTCTACAGAAAGCGGCGGAACGTTGTACAATACCCGCCCCGGCCGCTCTCTAGTACCTATAACAAATTGCCCCCGGATGCAGTTACCTATTCTAGGCTGTGACATGTTTAGCAAAGAAGAAGACGAAACTGAGGGGGATTTAGTGTGTATTAATGTAGAAGAGACTAGACTTCAGTCACAAACTTCAAGACTGGACGCACATCGTAGACTTGGCCACTTTCACGCCGATGGCCTTAGTGTATCGCGTCCAGAATGTGACCGGGCCAAAGGTCACAGGCACTCTCATGCAAAAGTGAGGCCCGCTGGGAATATACCCTCTCCGTTAGCAAAACGCCTGCAATTGATTTCGCAGTCGGTATTCGACCAGTATCCATAAGAAGCAAGAGACGTGCTCTAATAGTTCTTCGTGATTCGGTTGAAATGTGTTTCGTTCGACCTCTATGCCTTAAGTCAGACTGCGTTGAGGTGATTGAGGAAGTAGCAAAAAGCATTCGCCAGGACTACTCACTGTCACTCGACGACAAAAGAGTATGGCTCATCCGTAGAGATAGCGCGCCCGTCCTGAGTAGTGACCACATGACCAAAGTCATGCAGTCGCTACTGGTTTCGGAAAAAATTCCTGGAGTTCCTTACAACCCAGAGACGAACGGAACCCGCGAACGTTTCACGCGGACCATTTTCGGCGCTGTGCGTACCACGCTGGTCAAAGTCAGCCGACGTCTTTGGTGTTACTGCCTCCAGTATGCCGGAGATTGTTGGAATCGCTTACCGCATCGCGATGCAAAAATGCCAGAACATGACGGAAGGAGTCCTGCCGAGATACTAGAAAAGAAGACAGGGAAGAAATCCTCGAAGAGTGGTCTAGGTATGTTAAGATTTGGCTGCTTCCTTGGTGTACTTTCGCGAACAGGTCGCGGACACCACCAACAAGAAGGAAGCGAAGCTCGCGTCACCTTATCGGCGTGGTGTGTTCCTAAGTCTCTGCCCAGTCTCACCTGGTTGGCCAATCGGCACATATCACAATGATGAGAGAACAAAGGCTGGCTCCAAGTGGAGTGAGTATTCCACGCTAGATGTGAAATCTCGAGAGTCGACATTAGTAAAGGACATGGATTGGCTACCTACTGCCTACGCCGAAGGGCATTCATGTTGACTATGACCCGCTGGAAAACCTGCAGTCTGGCACGTCGTCGCTGGGTCCCGTCCTGCACAGACATGCGCTGCAACGTATGGCCTGTCAGCCGCGCTTCTCTGGCACGGAGTACAGCTCAGGCGACCCAACCGGCATGGAAATAATATCAGACAAAAATAAAGCGGATGAGTTTTTCTGTGAATCTTTGGACAAGGAAGGAGATCCAAAGACCGGCGACGATTCCAACTCTGACAGACACGCAACGCGCTGAGGAGGGGAATAGCTCACCGGAGCGTGTGTCGCCTGACTCTAATCCTGAAGCAAGGTACCCAAGGCCAATACCTACTCCACCACCTCAGGAGCCAGGCAAAGCAGAGGAGGGGAAGAAAGGCCGAAGAAGACCCAAAGGGAGCAAGGATAAGAATCCAGGACAACGTCGCAAGAGAAGAACAAAAGCCGAACCTGAAGCATTGAGAAAAGACATGAATAGACTTGCCATGCTAGCTGGCGGGCATGAGCAGGAAGAAGGGGGGACCTTTCTCGAAGCACATGCCACGTTGTCAGTTTCCCAAGCCTTGGAAAACCCTGACGCCGAAAAATGGCGAGCGGCTATCACCAAGGAGGGAGCTAGTGCTAGACTACTTGCCTTAGAGACTTGGGCGCCAGCTACTGACCAGGAGCCGCGGGCCTCTTCTCAGGTAATGCCTATAGCAATCGCTCTCACGGTAAAACGTGCCGGAACATTCAAAGCGCGCGCCTGTGTGCTCGGGAATCTTGATCGTTCGGGGAATGTCGACACCTACGCCCCTGCAGTGTCACACCCTGCGAGTAGACTTTTACTAGTCTCAGCGGCGACGGAGTCTGACTTCGTCACCCCCTTTGATCTTGATTCGGCGTCTCTTAGTGCTGAACTCGGCCGCGACGTCTTCTGCCGTCTGGTCTTCCACCAGTGTGGGCGGAGAAGCATGGAGCGGATACCGTCAAGCTTAAGAAAGCGCTATATGGGCTCAAGGACGCCCCACGAGCCTGGTTCAAGAAGTGCTGCACGCTATTAACTATTGTCCGAACTCGGATGGGAGCCATGTCCCTCTGCTCCAGGATTGTGGCGGAAAAAGAGCAAAACGCACCCAGGAAAGCATACGAAGGCGCCAGTCTATGCTGGTGGTAACTTAGCTACTGGGCCTGACTATCAAGAGTCACGGTCCGAACTCAGCTGGGTCTTTAGTCGCGCCCCCGGCCGGCCTATTGAAATGGAGACGGCAAAGCGAGCCGATACCCCCCCAGGCTTCGAATGGCTAGAGCTCGACTCTGTTCCTTGGTGCGATTGTGCACTATTGTCGGGAGGCACGTTCAGTGAAAACCCTGATGAGTGTGCACGTACTAGAGAAAGCTCCGAAGAAGTATAAAATAGCACTAGGCAAGCCGGTGCGGCCTCCAAATTTCGACGGGTCAGTCTGCTTTGCTTGGGGAGGGGCTTAAGCTAGCAGCCGGGTTTCCATTGCGTGAGTTTGTTGGCGCACTGCTTTGGATATCGACAACCGCAAGGCCAGACATATGCGCCCCCGTGGCGACATTGGCGCGGTATGTCAGTAAGCCCGTAGCTGAAAGAATTGCAAAGCCTGTAGAAAAGTGCTGAAGTATCTAGCTACGACAAAAGCCCAAGGACTCCACTACCCTCCAGAAAGTGAGGGGGAATTCAACGAAATTTACAAGGAGCTCCTACCAGAAAGGAGAGCGCTGCGATATACTAACTCGCTCCCAGATGCAAGATTTGCAAACTGCATAAAGAGCACGCGCTCGGCCAGTGGTTCGATTGTGTACTATCGGGGTTCTCCTATCTGTTGGAAACGCAATACCCAAAGCGTGCGCGCATATTCGACCGCAGAGTCAGAGTATATAGCCGCGCCGGACACTATTGCCATGAGCGAGCTGCATGGCTTCGCAGACTTCGTCAATCCCTTGCCCACTAAGTAAACTAGCGGAGACGCGGTCTGGTATATCGCCACCCCTCGACGATGCCACATTGTGGGTCGACAACCAGTCTGCAATATCGACGGCAAAGAGTGACGACCCGAAGCCTAAAAGTAGACACTACCCTACGCGCTCCGCTATTTAAGGGCTAGAGATGCAGCTGGGAGCGTCGCTCTCTGTCCTACTCACCTTATGAGGGCTGATGGACTAACGGAACTCCCATGCTCATCCACCCAGCGCAGGCTAATTTTGCATCACATAGAAAACCCAACAATTAGCCATAGCCATGCCGAAGATGATAGCGACTCGGAAGAAGAAGAGGAGGAGCCTGGTTCAGGTTCTGCCTCTCTGGCGGCGCTTACCTACTCCATCCCCTTGGGGTGTTAGATCGTTGGCCAATGGTGGCGCAATAGGCTATTTATCGACAACTAGTGATGGATCAGGGTTGGAGCAAGTAACGCCAGGCCTTTCCCGCTCGCCGTCATTTCCTCCACTAACGACCGAGGGGGGGCGCTGGTCAGTGGTCATTACTGGCCCAAGATCCTCTGAATGAACCTGATTTCAGTGCCAAGTGACTGCTCTCACTCGTCAGCTTGATCCTGATCAATGCCGTTCCTTGTCTTGAAATCTTGTTAGTTCCTCGCGTGATCATCAGTGGAACTCAATGAAAACCGACATGAGTAAGCAGTAAGATCTCCCAGATCTTTAGCTGCACTATGGCCCTCCATGGTATCCCAATGACATTGAACCCATTTTGATACCATTTCAGGGCCTTAGACGGTCTGACTGTCAGCGATCACCCGGCGCGTCCGTTCTGATCGTCTTTCTGTTACATTGCAACGATAGTGGTTCCATTTGCTCTCACGAGCTTCATAGCGTGCCTGGACGTGTTCGGGTGTTCCAACAGTTTCGCAACCGTCATAAGTCGCTGAATATTCTGAGTCTCATTTCTATGAGATTGAGACCCACGTAAAATCTTGTTTAGTTTCTCTGGTGTCAACGTCACTAGTTTTGTTGGTGTCTATGAAGCTGAACGAATGCCGTGGCTATGCAGAAGCTTGAAGCTTCAGAAATGCAGCAGCCTGTACCCCCCGGGCCCTTGGTCATCGGCTTGCTTGCTCTTGCGACCGTGGCCGCCTTCGGCGGCCTTTTACCCCGGAGGCCTCCCGCCTGCGAGGGTCAGCAGAGGCCAGGAGGCCCCTGAGGAACACGCTGAGAGGCGCAAGGGGAGGCCCGCGCCAAGTTTTGACGCCTCCCACCACTAGAATCCGCGAAAATCAGCGCGGAAAAGCGCGCGCGCGCGCCACCACAGACCATACCACAGGGGGCGGGCACCGTGCAGCCCTGCATCATATACGATTTTAATAGTGCATATGCATACTACTAGACGCCAAGTAGATCTTTCTCTTTTTCGCCGACCGTAAGTCCCTTTTTCAGTCTCTGTTATATCGCCAATCTCGAGACGTGTTTTCAAACCATTAGTGACAGCGTTCACTGCCAGTGCCCAGACCGAGAGGAATGGCCCTCCACTCCCAAGAAGTGGACATTTTTGTTCTTCAGATGCAAGAACAGGCGTTTCTTCTGCTGCTGCTGCTCCTCCTGCTGCTGCTTCTGGAGAAGCCAACGCAGAAGCTTCGGCGGTGGTGGAAGTAGTTGTAGTTGTAGTTGTTTGCTCATTTATGACGTTTTCGTCTAGCACTGGAACCAAACCGCAGAAATGTTTGCGGAATTCCTCAGCGCGAGTTTGCTTTCCTCTTTTTTAGCACTAGTTGTTCACTATCCCCGGTTGAGTGAGAAGTCTTGTCTCCCCATATAGTCTCCTTTCTTTGCACAAAGGGGGACCCTACTCAGACAGCATGCCCCGCATGGGATAGTGATATACTAGCCTTAAATCTTCAATTTGTTGTACAGCTGCGCGACACTAACAAGTGACTTGGCAGCCACACCCAAATGTTTCTGATAGGCATTGGTGGTTTTCTTATCTTTTGGCCGCCCGCCCTTAAGAGTTGCAATTTGCCATGTCTCCTGAGACAAATCATTCATCACCCGAAGAATGTACGTTATTAGCAGATACTGTCTCTGCTGTATCTCTTTGCGCAACCGAACTGGACACGACTCGAGCTGGCGTCGACCATGTTCGTCTCCTCGTCCACTCTCTCTAGCACTAGAAGGTCCTGCGCTAGGACTAGAAGGTCCTGCGCTAGGACTAGTAGAACTTCCTCCGCCAGCAGTAGAACTTCCTCCGCCAGCAGTAGAACTTCCTCCGCCAGCAGTAGAACTTCCTCCGCCAGCAGTAGAACTACTTCCGACAGGAGTAGAACTTTCTCCGTCAGCAGTAGGATCTCCAGAAATATCCAAGGTAGAAGACGCAGCAGTAGCACCATTCGCACTAGCACCATTAGTCATTCTATCAGCCGACTGTGCATTTGCAGCAGCAGTACTCGTTGTGGAAGATGCGTGTGCATCAACATGGTCGAATTTGAGTAGGATTTCGAGTAGTTTCATGGCATCCCTCAAGGAATCGCGAAGTTCTTGATCGCTGAGCTTCGCTTGCCAGTCTTTATGCCATTCCCCAGGCTTCCCCCAGGCCGCTTTCACATAATTGGCCCGTTCTGCCCCGTCGTTCATTTGGAAGGTCCTTCTAAGCTGCTTCCTTCTTTTCGTCTCTTAGAAGGGGTGTTCAATAAAAGCGGATCGCTATGCGTGAGATAAGTGCCAGAAAGGAAAAGGATATTTTTAAAGGCTGTCCAATATAATGCCATGCTTTGGTTCTTGCATCGATTTTTCTAGTTCATTTAAATCCTGAAACACTTCCTTGTTTCGTGGAACATCTTCTACTTCTTCTTGAAGATTATAGTAAATTTACAGAAAAGATGTTGCAACCAAGTTGACTCAGCCAAAAGATGACAGAGCTACGCTTGACTACAGCTACAATCTTAATCTTTATCAAAATTTCTTCTGCGAGTGCATCTATAGAAATTCTAATCTATTTTGGGATGAGATTAACACTAAGTGAGTAACACCTACTTGCGTCTGATGCACGTGCACCATTCGTCGTGCGGTAAAAAATTATATAAATATACTTATAAATTGTATGGCCTTAATGCTCCTCCGTCGACTGCTTCCAAGCAGTAGCTAACTCTGATTCTTCAGGACCCCAAATCGGTACCACCGACTTCACGAATATAGACGCGTCTCGGCAAAAATCATGCTCAAAGATCCGCTCTTTCTCTTTTTCGCTCATCTGAAAGCAAATAATTGTAACTTGTCAGTCAGTCTAAATTTCTAGCAGTACGTAGTAGAGCAGGTTGTTCAAGAAGTAGATGGATCACTAAATGTAGACTCTCAAATCAAACCGCTACCTAAGAAGTAGAGGCGTCTACCTAAAAAGTAGGTGGATCAATAAATGACTACAGGGCATCGGCATCAAATAAAGATCTGTGGTCATTGCCATTGAATTCTAATCAATCTCTAGTGTACCTGTGCACCTGCTTCGGGAGGCGGCCCTCCGGTTGCTGATGCTGCTCCCGGTGAGCTTGCTTCGGCTGCGCCTGCTTGTTCCGTTGCTGCTGCTATTGCTTCTCCTCCTCCTCTTTCTACGCCCCAAGGAGTTCCCGGCCCATCAAAAGCTTTGAAGATTTGCAACAAAAACCGAACAAAATGGTCCGGCCTCCAATGTTTCAAGTCCATCCGTGTTGTTGCTGACGAAAAGGTTCTGACCCAGGCTGTCGCTTCCTTCCTTTCCAAATGTCCGTTTCGATCGTGCCACGCTTATAAGTTAGATGAAAAAATCGCGAGCATGAACTTCGACCAGAAGGAAAAGAATGACCACTGACTGCGCGTGCTGAGCTGCGAAGTACTTGGACACGCATGTCATGCCATTTGTCTCCGGTTTGACCTGCCAGATCAGCCTTGAGGCCAGACCCTAGGGAGCTAGCTGTGCACCCTGCTTGTAGTCCTTCAATCATGTTCGCTTATAACAGCGACCCTACGATGAACTGCTTGATCCCGTACTAGCAACCCATCAAGTAGTCATTATCTAGATTGGTTGAAGGACTAGTCTAAGGCTAAGGTAGTCCCTATCTACGTATACAACTATTGGTTGAAGTTGGCACGTCAATACCCAGGCCCCGAGTGCAAACGTGAGAAGAAAGAGCAGAAAGTAACTAGATCGCCACGAGGATAATGGTCAAGATCATAGCCACCACTACGATAATAACCAAGATCATAATCAGCATCAAGACCATGATCATCAACAACGAATAACAGCGCAAACAATCACCACCAAGAACCAAGAACATGGTAGACCACTCACAGCACTAGGGGTAACATGATAAGTGCCAGCATTATGGTGATCAGCCTAGTGCCGCACTGAGTAACTAAAACAAGGACCAGCAGGGTCATAGACAAGCACAGAAGGAACAACCACAACAAAGACCAAGGACCCCACTCGCCACTCTTGTCACCAGTGGCCGGCCACTTGGGCTACCGCAAACAGCAAAAACCCTAGTCGCGCTATTGCCGTGATATACAGAACGACTGCGCGTTACTTAAGGGCGCCACTGTGTTCTACTTCATAAAGGGTAGCGGATGCTGGGGCGTCAGTACTCAGGTCCCGAGTGCATACGTAAGAAGGAAGTAACTAGATCGCCACGAGGATAATGATCAAGATCACGGCCACCACTAGGATAATAATCAAGACCATAGCCACCACCGGGATCATGATCATCAACAACGAACAACAGCACAACGACCACCACCAAGAACCAATAGCGTGGCAGACCACTAACAGCACTAGGATCAACATGGTAAACGCCACCACTATGATGACCAGCCTAGTACTGCACTAAGTAAGCAAAGAAAACAAGGGCCAAGAAGGTCATAGACAGACAGCACAGAAGAAACAACCACAACAAGAAGCAACAACCTTACCCGTCCCTCTTGTCAGTGGCCGGCCATTTAGGCTACTGCAAACAGCAACAACCTGGCCACGATACTGCCGTCGCATACAAAGAACGGCCGCGCGTCATGGGTGCCACTGTGTTGGTTCGCTACTTCATAAAGCACTCCTTATCTATACTACGAAAGTCCATGGATAATTTGTCTATATGTTTTGTTGTACTTCTACTAGAAGAAGCGCAGTCATTGTTTCTACTTGTATCGGTACAGCTACTACAACTAATTCGAAGTTGTCCCGTATGATGGGTAAAAAGAGTCAAGACGTCGTCGTCCGCATTTCTAGTACGATGGAGTAAAACTTAGGAAAATACGACACATCGATCACCGGGTGATGAAAAATGGCCGTAATTAACGCCTCTGCCAGCGGTTTCGTCCTGTCCCCGACCGCGTCCCCAGGGCTAGTACTAGAGTCGGCTTTTTCTGTATTAGAGCTCTTGGGTTGCACACGAGGATATCTTGCTGAGTACTAAAAGACCATGCTTGGAAGAAACTTTTCGGTATCACGACAGAGATCGTTATGGTTATCACTCATAACTTGAAGGCCCATTCAGTTTGACAAAGTTTCATTGTGTACATGAAAATCGATTACTTGACTCGATTTTCATCATCACTAAAATCAGCAGAATTCATGCCATATTATTCTCTTTCGAGGGTGCTGGAAAGACCTTGGTCACCATCTTCTCCAGTATCCACTGTTGTTTTCGAAAGTTGTCAGCCCATTCGTTTCCTTGCCGATGCGTCATCCAGCCCACCTTCGCTTGGATTGCCCGAGCATCTACTTAGAACATTTTTCACTCCTCGAGACTCTTTTAACTCGTCCTCGTCTGTCGAGTAGAATCCAGCGTGTGAAAAAATCCATTAGTAGACTCTGTTGTAAGACTAAGAATCGAGATTCGAGACTCGAAAAAAGTCAAAATATAATAACACATCATAGCAATCAGATGCCGAATTAGTATTAATGGGTTCTGATTTATACATACTCAACCCCTTCAATAGCATCAATTGCACCTACGCATACCCCACTGACTAGACATTATAACGCACCATGGGCGTGAGACCAGTCGTGCAGCAATTGCCAGTATTGGCAAAACTAAAAAATGCTGCGTCTTCATCATACGGCTTGAGCGTCTTTTCGTTTTCATCTAGACGCAACTATCTGTCAAAAGTTGTCAAAACTTACTTGGAGGTGCTCTAGAAGCACTAGGCACAGTGCGCGCTCCTGACGACAAAACGAGAAGCCATACGGGCCAAGTGAGTGCGCGGTTGCATCTTTCGACTCGATGAAGCTGGCGCAAGCATGTATCCAACGAGCGTGATTCCACTCCCGAATATCGCCTGGGACGCAAAAATTCGTCTCCGCATGCCCATCTACTTAGAGAATTTATGCTGGGCTTCAGCGTGCTGTTGGACTTCAGCTTCCTTCAGGAAGACTAAATCTAGATCCTTCCTTCGGTTATTCAAAAGTTCATTGTCATAACTATCAGACCTGACATCAGAACCAAAGTGTCAAGATCTTGGATTGTTAAGCAACTACTACGACCACTACTACTAGCGTATCCCAGAGCTAAAAAGAAGTTTGAGTTTCAGTAAGATGAACCATCGACAAAGCTGTACCAGGTCGACGTCAAAAGTCACGAAATAAATCTAGTTCCAGGCGATTGAAGGGAGAGTTGCTCGTACACATTAGTGAGCGTTGCAGGTGTTGCGCTGTGGACGTTCCAAACGAAAATAAAGAACAGGACTTTTTCCCCATTTCCCTTTGCTTCTTGTCTATCATATACCCTTACCCTTGCTTCTTCCAGGCCAGTGATAACAACGTAGCGCCGGCTATAAAATACATAGATATGCTCACTAAACTTTTACTTTTCAAGCGTCAGCTATCATAGCCCTAAAACGCAAGGCATAAGCCACCCCTGCAGAATAAGCCCTAAAAACGAAGACCTAAGTATAGAAGATTGTGCCAATTCGTAATCACCGTTGCCATCAGTCCGCGACAAGCCGGCAGCATCCACGGCAGACAGCATCTCATTGACTTTAACAAAAAGCCTTTCCGAGCGTCCATTTCCGGCGCCAGCAGATTTCCCCTCCTGCTTGTTGCCAGACGTTTCATATGAAAGCGAAAAAAGGGGGATTTGCAACACTGGTGGTGCACGACCGATCTATCATGATTTAAAAGAATGAATGGGCGTCAAAGTCACCACGTCGTCTCTCACAATTACTTGCTGACTCGAAAGAAGTTCTATAGCATTTGATTCGAGTGCATATAATTATAGGGTAAGTGAAGTATGCGGTAACTAAGTGAAAAGATCGCGATTGAAACCGAAGAAGACCAAAATCATTAGATTCTCTCACTTACATATCTACGTGGAATGGTTAGGTTATGTTATGGACCCTGCACAGATAGGCTATGGCATCATGTTAGGCTAGGATATGATAGATGTGCTAGGTTATGGATCCTGCATAGATTATGGAATGCTAGGCTATGAAAATGCTAGTTTATGGGATGATAGATCTGTTAGGTTATTTATAAGTGGAACGAATGATAGGCACAAATCCAACCAAAGCCTTAAATTCGAGTCCTTGTGCATCAGACAAACCCGCTGGAGCAGCACCATTGCCGACATCTGAAGCTGCCAAGCCACAAGACTCGTGTTTAGATCCTTTATAATGATCTCCAGTGTGCTGTCGGAAGGCGCTTCTCCTGACACGCCTTTGGTTCCTCTCCTGCTACAGAGCTGCCTTCTGCTTCTGCTTCCGCGCCACTCGCCTCGCCAGCAGCAACGCCCCCACCGTGCTTGGGCTCGCCATCAACCTGGCCAAGTGTGGCAGCTGCTGCTCGGGGGGCTGCTGCTGCTGTGGGCTCTGCTGCCGTCTTTGCGGGAAGGGCGTGCCGAAGGAGACAACAAGAGGACAAGGAAGGGACAACATGACGGACAGACAGGTCCGCAGCACAGGACGGACTACAGGACAAGGGGTGGGCACCAGCGCAGGAGGAGGGGTGGACAGCAAAACAAGGGATGGGCGGCGGGACAGGTCAGGTGGGCAGTCGCGCAGATGGGATGGGCAGCCGGACAAGTCGGACGGGCAGCGGGATAGGTCACATAGACAGTCAGAGAACGCCTGGACACAGAGGCAGGACCTGGACACCTCGACAAAGCAGATCTAGGCAATACTAACCAAGCCTGTAAAATTATGATCAGTAGTACGCTATATGGTTTCTTCC